AATCAAAACCTCAATGAGATACTACCTCACACCAGTCAGAATGGCTAAAATTAACGAGTCAGGAAATGACAGATGTTGGCAAGGATGCGGAGAAAGGGGAACTCTTCTACACTGTCAGTGGGAATGCAAGCTGGTGCAACCACTCTGGAAAACAGTATGGAGGTTCCTCAAAAAGTTGAAAATAGAGCTACCATACGATCCAGCAATTGCACTTCTGGGTATTTACCCCAAAGATACAAATGTAGGGATCCAAAGGGGTACGTGCACCCCGATGTTTATAGCAGCAATGTCCACAATAGCCAAACTGTGGAAAGAGCCAAGATGTCCATCGACAGATGAATGGATAAAGAAGAGGTGGTATATATATACAATGGAATATTATGCAGCCATCAAAAGGAATGAGATCTTGCCATTTGCAACAACGTGGATGGAACTGGAGGGTGTTATGCTGAGCAAAATTAGTCAATCAGAGAAAGACATATCATATGACCTCACTGATATGAGGAATTCTTAATCTCAGGAAACAAACTGAGGGTTGCTGGAGTGGGGGGTGGGGTGGGAGGGATGGGGTGGTTGGGTGATAAACATTGGGGAGGGTATGTGCTATGGTGAGCGCTGTGAATTGTGCAAGACTGTTGAATCACAGATCTGTACCTCTGAAACAAATAATGCAATATATGTTAAGGAAAAAAAAAAAAGAAGAAGATAGCAGGAGGGGAAGAATGAAGGGGGGGAATCGGAGGGGGAGACAAACCATGAGAGATGATGGACTCTGAAAAACAGACTGAGGGTTCTAGAGGGGAGGGGGGTGGGAGGATGGGTTAGCCTGGTGATGGGTATTAAAGAGGGCACATTCTGCATGGAGTACTGGGTGTTATGCACAAACAATGAATCACGGAACACTACATCAAAAACTAATGATGTAATGTATGGTGATTAACATAACAATAAAAAAATTTTTAAAAAGAAGATGTGGTCTATACACAAAATGGAATATTACTCAGCCATACAAAAATGAAATCTTGCCATTTGCCACAACATGGACGGATCTAGAGGGTATAATAATAAGTGAAATAAGCCAGTCACAGAAAGACAAATACCATATGATTTCACTTCTATGTGGAATTTAAGAAACAAAGCAAACAAACAAAGGAAAAAAGAGACAAACCAAAAAACAGACTGGTAACTATAGAGAGCAAACAGGTGGTTGCCAGAGGGGAGGTGGGGGGGGGGGGGGTTGGGTGAATAGACTGAGGAGATTAAGAGCACGCTTATCTTGATGAGCACTGAGTGAGGTACAGAATTATTGAATCACTATCTGGTACCCCTGAAACTAATATAACACTGTATGTTAAATACACTGAAATTAAAAAATAATAACAATTTTTTAAAATAATCCAAATTGGGGGCACCTGGGTGGCTCAGTTGATTAAGCGACTGCCTTCGGCTCAGGTCATGATCCTGGAGTCCCTGGATCGAGTCCCGCGTCGGGCTCCCTGCTCGGCAGGGAGTCTGCTTCTCCCTCTGACCCTCCCCCCTCTCATGTGCTCTCTCTCAAATAAATAAATAAAATCTTTAAAAAAATAATAATAATCCAAATTGGAATCAGTAGTTGGAATCTAAACTCAATACATTTTTCCCTTTTTCTAGCCAAATACACTTATCCCAATTATTCTGCTTCCAACAGTGAAAGCAATTAATTTTTGTAAATCTGGGGCGCCTGGGTGGCTCAGTCATTAAGCGTCTGCCTTCGGCTCAGGTCATGATCCCAGGGTCCTGGGATTGAGCCCTGCATCGGGCTCCCTGCTCCGCGGAAAGCCTGCTTCTCCCTCTCCCACTCCCCCTGCTTGTGTTCCCTCTCTCGCTGTGTGTCTCTCTGTCAAATAAATAAATAAAATCTTTAAAAAAATTTTTTTTTGTAAATCCACCAGAGAGTCTCCTGGAAATCATGGTTACTATTAAAAAGTAATAATAAATAAATCTTATATTAGGGGGTACAAAGCCCTGGCTTCTCTTGGCCCTCTCTATTTCTATGTTAATTGCCACTCAATATATGAAATTCTACCCAAAATATGGGGAGGCATTGGACTGGAATTACATAAATTAGTTTAGGAAGAATGACATCAGTGTTCTAGTGAGAACACCATCCATTAACTTGGAGTTTCTCTTCACTAATTTTAATTTTCTTTAATGACACTGTAACTATTACAATTCTTCACTGCACATGTCTCTCATGTCCTCTGTCATATTATTTTTACATACTTGTGTCTGTGTTACTGTACTCAGTATGTTTTCTTTAACTGTATTTTGTAGCATTTGGTTCCTGGAAGACCTAACTGTCTTCTTAAAGATTTTTATTTATTATTTATTTGAGAGAGAGAGAGTGCAAGAGAGCACAAGTAGGGGGAGGGGCAGAGAGAGAAGGAGAAGCAGACTCCCTGCTGAGCAGGGAGCAATCCCAGGACCCTGAGATCAGGACCTGAGCTGAAGACAGACAGTAACCAGCTGAGCCACCCAGGCGCCCCTGACTTTATCAATTTTGTGCAATAAATTTATATTACTTGTATGACCACAAGAAACAATAAAGCAATTTGTCTTGCCAAAAAAAAGTGTTTTGGATAAGCATTTCTCTCCTGCTAAGCTCTGGTAGCTTATGCAAAGCCAGCAGACCCAGGGTTAGAGAAAGCTCTAGGTGCTGGTATGTGGAGCTGCTGGTTCCAGCACAAATTCATGAGATTTGGAAACAGGGGTGCAAGTGGGTAAGGGAGGAAGGAAATGATCGGATGAAAACCACAGCACCTGAATCACACATTTCTGCATGCTCAGAAGTCTTGCCTCATTCTGGGCAACTTCCTGGTGAGGAAAGGAACTGAGAAGGGTAACTTTTAGCCCACAGAGATGAGGGCACAGCAAAGAGACGAAACGTGTGATGTGAAGCTGGAGGTCCAGGATTGATGCTGAGGTCCCTGCCCCGCTCAAGAGAAGGGGAATTTTAAAGTCATACCACCTTTTAAGCCCGGAGCGAGCGCTCCCAGATGCCTGCCACCCCCTCACACAAAGCCCTCCCCGCACACCCCTTTGAGTCCCTCCCTCGAGCTCCTCAGACCCCTACCCACCCCGCAGGAGTACTTTCTTCATTCCGTGTTTCAGGCCGAGATTTTCCTGCTCCATCTCATCCGGCACCTGTGTCTCCAGCTCACCAGGGGTGCCTCGATTTAGGATCCAGCAGCCTTAGTACATTTTTTCATCTCTTCCCCGTGACTTCTGGAGTCTAGGGTGGTAGTTGAAGGCTTGTGTACGCGATCAGCACAACATCTTCGTCCAATCTTGATCCTCTGCTTTCTCCCTTCTCCACATTCCTCAAGTGTTCTGGTCCTTGACGGCGATCTTTCTAGATTTCCAACCCATTGAGTGAGTCGCACGATACTTTTAACACATCTTTGCTGTCATTTCGGTAGGATCTCTCGGGTGCATTCAACACCATCTCACAAGGAGAATTTCTTTTTTTTTTTTTTAAAGATTTTATTTATTTATTTGAGAGAGAGAGTGAGAGGGAGAAAGAGCACAAGAAGGGGGAGTGGGAGAGGGAGAAGCAGACTCCCTGCTGAGCAGGGAGCCCGACGCAGGACTCGATCCCAGGACTCCAGGATCATGACCTGAGCCGAAGGCAGTCGCTTAACCAACTGAGCCACCCAGGCGCCCTCACAAGGAGGATTTCTAAAGTGACCTGTGAATCAAGAAGATGACTGATGGATGGGAGAGCATGAAACCATGGCTTTATGGCTGAGGGCACCTGGCTTGAATCCCCCTCCCCACCCCACCCCCCCACCGAAACATCAAACCTACCAGTCTTCTTCCTACACTTGAATACCTCCCAGTGATGTGGCACTCACTGCTCACTGGTAGTCTGCCACCTTTTCTTCTGGTTCACTGGGAACTCTGAAGTTCACCCTCTGACCCCATCTATGTCCTTTAGGGTAAGGCAGACTTCAGGAAGTCCTCGTTAACATTCATTGCTACCGGAGGGGATGGACTGCGAAAGAGCTCAGGTTCTGGTCCACTGGGTGGAGGAGCAATCGCGAAGCCGCCAGAAAGGGAGAAGACAGGCGTGAAGATAGAAACAGTAGCAAGCTACCTGGTAGATTCAGGTCTCCACTCCTCGGCTAGTTTTGCGCTAGTCCCAAAGGGACTTAACTCTCCTTGTAGCTTTATAACGTCTTAAGATGTAATATTGTGTGAGGTGTCATTCTACACTGACCTTCCTTCCCGGTTTCTCCTCTTTAAAACAGTTCTTAATTCTTACAGACGCACTCCAGAACGATATGTTTGAAGTTTTAACAAATGGCATTCTAAACATTTTGGAATTGCATTAAATGTACACATTATTTAGGAGGAGTTGGCTCCCCTAGGAACACAGCACTAGTACTGAGAGCTCGCGCTGGGTTTGAGTCCAGCCTGACAACTTTCCGGCTATGCATGTGACCTGCGCCAAGGTGCCTCCATTCTGTGTACCTTAACCTCCTCATCTATCAAATGGGTATGATGACAATAGCACTTGCATCCTGGTTAGTGCGAGGGCTGAATGCGATGATGGACAGAACGCAGGAGGGACACGTGTCCTGCAAGCGTTCTTTGTTCCCGGTGGTGTTTAGAATGCCTCCAGCCAGAGAGCCAGCCAGGGGTTCTCTGTCTGGGGGAACCTCCTCCAGGCTGCTCAGGAGTTGGTGTAGCCACGTCCTCCCGTAAATCCTGCGCGTTCCTTAAATGCTCATGGGCCGTGGCTCGGTGCCAGCGCTCGTGGTCTGGGCACCCGCTGAGGCCGAGGCGTTTTGTTCCGGCGCGTGCAGTTCGTGGGCGCTGGCGGCGGGGGGCGGCTCCAGGGGAGGCGGGCCCAGTCCTGGAAGCCGGGAGGCCGGGGAAAAGAACCCGGGCCTGGGAAGGGAAAGGGAAAGCGGCTGCACGAGCCCAGAGCTGCTGAAAAGAAATGAAACTGAAAGCGGGAGGGGCGTGGAATGCCTGCGAGGCTGGGACGGAGGGACGCAGGGGGGGAGGAGGCGGGCGCAGCAGCGCCTCCCCCTCCCCGGCCTCCGGGCGCAGAGCCAAGGCCTAGGCTTTGCAGGCCCCGGGGAGCGCGCAGAGCGCGAGAGGGAAGCCGGGGCGCGCTAGGGGCCCGGAGCCGGCCATGGACGTGTGCCTCACCCCCGCCGCCGGCCTCGACAGCCTGGTGGCCCGCAGCCTGCAGCCGTCCCCCGAGTTCCTGGCGGCTGCGCGGCGCGCCCTGGGCGCCCTGGCAGCCTCCCTGCGTGAGGCCGGGGGCCGCGCGGCTGCGCAGCCTTGGAGGGTGCTGAAAATCGCCAAGGTGGGCGCCGCGGGAAGGGGGGGACACCTAGAAATAGGGACAATCCTCGGAGGATGCCGGCGCATTACCACGGGCTTTGCGGACCACGACGGTTTCTATCCGCTCTTTTCATGCAGCGCACTTGCTATGCGCCAGGGCTGTTCGAAGTGCCCTGAAAATAGACTGCACACCACAGCCGGGCCGGGTAGGGACAACTAACCCCACCTGACACATGGGAAACTGAGGCACAGAGACGAAATAATGTGTCCAAGCTTGTAAGAAATCCAGCCAAGATTCAAAGCCAGGTGGTCTGATTTCTTGCATCTCCGCTTCTGTGGGCGGCCTCTCACTGGTTCTTTCATTGACTCACTCAGTCCTTTACCGGGTCCAGACAGACTCCAGTCCTCACACCATGCCTGACCCTCAGGGTGCAGAAACATACATACAGAGCATTCTATAATAGCCCTAATAGCCTAACTGACTGAGAAACTACCCAATAACAATAAACATGGTCTCGTTAAATGAGTCATCCCTCTTAATCCCCATATTCAGTGAGGTAGGGATTCTTGTCCCTGTCTTATGACTTGGGAAACTGGGACTGGGTGTGGGTGAGCCCTGCCCAGGCCACTTTTTGTCACTTAAATGCTTCGCTGCCACTGTGACCTCAGGTTGCCCACAGACTCAGGGAGACGGGCGACACCTACTATATCCTCTTAGCGCAAACTCAGGGGCTCCAGGGATGCAGCGAGGGAAGCTGGCTGGGGTAGAGGGGACTTGGAGCTTGTCAGGGAAGGGATGAGCAGGGAATGACCCCAGAGCAGCTAGTGGTTTCCTAGGGCTGAGTCTTAGCTTGGGAGGTAGGAAAGGGGAAGGAGAAGGAGAGACTTGCAGCCTATGAAATGTGGAGGCAGATTTCTGCCTTGGAGGTGGACAGGAAGAATTTCTTTGGAGCAAGAATGTAAGAATCTTTAAAGCTGTGGCATCCTTTGCTTCCCTGGAAAACCTGGAAACAGCTCTCGTGGTTGAATGTAGCTTATGGCCTTCTGATCATTCCAGGCTTTGAAGGAGACAATGGTGAAGTGGGTAGGGCTAGGGGCTACCTTTCCAGTCTTGAGATGCTGCTCCCTGCGGAAAGGGCTCCTTGGAAGAATGGCTGATTCCAGGGCTGGAATAAGATGTGCAAGATGAGCCTGGGGCTTCTAGGTGGACCAGAAAGCAAGGAAGGGGTGGCAGGCCTCTGCAGTCCTGTCAGAAGAACCCCCACGCCCGGGGCCAACATGAAGGGGCTCCCCTGCTCCAGTTAGGACCACCAAAAATTGTCTCTCGGCATTGCCAAATGTCCCCTGGGACAAACGTCACCACCCTTCACTGGGGATCACCATGTTCGAGATGCCCATGAAAGCGTATGCAGATGAAATGACACAGTGGCTGGAATTTCTTTTCAAATCACATAAGGAGGAAAACAGAGGTCGAATAACTAGAGCAAATGTGGCAAAAGTCTCTTTACAACCCTCTCTTCTTTTGTGGTAGGTTTAGACACTAAAAAAAATATATATATTTTTAGTGAATTAATCTATGGGGGAGGGGGTGCAGGAAGAATGTAGGCTTGGGGCCCCACCTCCCAACCTCCGGAACTGACTTCCTGAATTCAAAGCACTTGGTGCTGCCTCTGGGCAGGGCGCTGGTAAGCAAACTTCCCTGCACTTTCGTTTCCCCGTTTCCTCCTTTGTAAAGTTAGAGCAATGACGGCACCTTTCTCCCAGGCTTGTTGGGAGCTTCGCTGAGATGATCGTGTGCAAAAGTGCTCAGTCTACAATAGTCCTCTTTGCTCTGCCCCGTTCCCCCTTGGTTGGCAGCCCCCGATGTGAGGAGCGCGCTGCAAAGGAACTGGGATACCACTGGGGTAATTGGCGATCCCAGCTTGGTGGGGGAGGTGCCCCTGGAGGGCTAACCCTGGTTCTTGTCTTTTCCTGGTTGTGTTACTCACTTCACCACCCTCAGCCTCACTGCCTCGTGTAACCACAAGTAAACCACATCAGGGGTATTGCCTGGAAGTGAGATTTTACAGGTTGGCAGACATTTGACAGAACTGCAGGCACAGAGGAGAGACTGATCGTGTGTGAGTTTCCTTCCCAAGTCCTCGGCCCGCAGCTTTGCAGAAAGAAACACCTGTCAGAAAAGTCCCGAACATTCAGCAAGTCATATCGTAGCTCTGGACTGAATCCCAGGCAAAGGTCACAAACGTGTTCTGCAAACCAGAGTTTGTTTCACCCACAGTTAAAAAAAAAAAAAAAAAATTAAAAAATTTTAAACTCACAAAAATGTTCAAAGTTGGTTGCCAACATTTAGAAATCACGGATTCACAAATGAAAATGGCTTTTCTCGAAAACTCATAGCTGGCTGTGCTCGACCTGCATTTCTGCATGGCGCCAAATACCAGGAGCTGTGTGCCCATGGTCTCCCCTTTCTCTGCAGGGAGGCTCCGCCGGCCGGGGCACAGTGCTGAGGGGTGGCTGTGATTCTGAACTTGTCATCTTCTTTGACTGCTTCAGGTCCTGCTACGAGGACGAGGGTGTTCACCGGGCAGAGATCCTCAACGAGCTGCGGACCCTGCTGTATACAATCCTGGTGTCAGAAACCCATCCGCCGTCTGAGCTTTGAGTTTCCTCGGCAGGACAGGCCCAGGGTCCTACAGTTCCGCCTGGTGTCCATGGACCTTGAAAACTGGATGGATGTTAGCTTGGTGCCAGCCTTTGATGCTCTGGGTGAGGGGTGCCTGGCCCATTCCAGGCTTGGGGGCAAGAGCATTAGGAGTAAGACAGAGCTTCCTGCCCTGACCTTTTGTGTGGCCTGGGCAACTCTCTCTGGGCTCCAATTTCCTCACTGAACATACTGAGTCTGGGCCAAGAAAGCCCAGTTCCTCCTGGATCGGTAGTCTTGCTGTCCAGATGCTCGGCCCTCGCTCAAGCAACTGGGGAGACTTTCCTTCAGCCACTGCCAAAACAGTGCTGCTCAGCCCTTCCATAAATACCCCAAAGGAGAAAGCAAAGGGGCATGCACCCAGCAGCAGGGGTCTGGGGACAAGGCCAGAATTCTGCAAAGTCTTGTCTTTTATCTTAAAACCATTAATGTGATCTTTGCATTCCCCTTCATAATATATCCATCCTTGATTTAATATAATAAGGTGCCCCTGTGCCCACATTTGTAAAATGAGGTTAATAATAATGGGACCCTAGTTATCCATCTTACGGAGTTTTTGGAAAGGCTGTATGCGTTAAGGTATGTGATGAATTTTGAAAGGTGCCTGGCGCATGATGGGGCTATATGAGTGCTTGCTCTTCTTCTTCTTCTTCTTATTATTATTCTCCACTATTATTATTATTATTAACCATGATGCCCTGGGAGATAGGTCTCTTGAGTTTATCCAGTTATGAGGTCCTGGAAGACAGCCACACTCTCCCCATCTGGTACACCCACCCTCTGGGTATGCAAACATTAATCATAATAGCTACTCCTTATTAAATGCTTCACTGTTCCAAGCTCCTGACGTTTTATCTCATTAATCCCTCCAAACAAACCTGTGAGAACTGTACTGTTGTATCTTCCTTTTTACCAAGAGGGACGCTGAGGCACAGAGACGGATAGTAACTCGCCCAAAGTCACACAGCAAGTAAGCGGTGTCAGGAACCTGGGCAGTTATGGAGAGGGCTTACTTTTCCCAGGCCAGGCCCACAGGAAGTGGTGGAGGGAAAGGCACAGACCATAAAGTCAGCCAGCTTTAGGTTCCAATCCTATCTCCATCACTTGTCAGCTATGTAACCTTAGGAAGAGTACTGAGTTTCTTCTCTGTGCCTCGGGATCCTCAGCTGTGAAATGAGGTGAGGAATATTTGCCTGATCAGGTTTTGGTGGGGCTATGGGGGACTCACGTGAAACTCTCAGCCCAGTGCCTGCCTGGAGTGTCGTGAGCACTCAAACAATATTAGCTATCACTGCTAAGGCATCAGGACCTTTTGCCTTTTACTTCTCCAGCTTCGTTTCCTTTCCCTATGGCACCGATTAATTAAAGGTATGTATGGTGGTATTCTGGTGCCGCCTGAGGGAGCCTCGGGGAGGGCAGAACTGCCACATTCTAAGTACTCCTGACTCAGCTCGAAGCATCATTTCTGTTTAGCCACCTTGGAATACGGCTGCTCTTCTTCAGCCTGGCCCTGGGTTTGGAAGGAAGGGACCTTTCCTTCTGGTCTCGAGCTTTCCTCTCTGCCTCCTAAGAAGCTCCAGGCTCTCTTCCTCATCCTCCAACCCCCCCATGTTAGTGGATTCTGCCCCCTGCCGCCAAATTCCCCCCAGTTTCTCCATCCTGTGCCTCAGAACCCTTCCTGACTTCAGGCACTTCACACCCCCAGGGCAGCTCAGTTCCAACGTCAAACCTGTGCCCCAGGTCTACTCGACGCTTCTCAAAAGTGGCTGCCAGGGCGGCGAGCACTCCGCCTGCTTCTCAGAACTGCGGAGGAACTTTGTGAATGTTCGCTCGGCAAAGGTGAAGAACCTGATCCTGCTGGTGAAGCATTGGTACAGTCAGGTGAGGCCACCACCAAGGGTCCTTGTTCCAGGCACTCGTGATGGAATTTGTGATTTCATGACAGCGAGAATATTTTCTTAGGCTTCGCAGCCATTCATGTGTCTCTTTATGGGACTTGCCTGTTCATATCATTTGTTTATTATTTTCTACTGCGTTAGCTGTCTTCTTGTTGTTGGTTTGTTGGAGCTCTTTATATAGTCTGGGTGCTAATTCTTAGGGAGTTGATATAATGCAAATCTATTCTCCTAGTCCGAGGCTTGTACTTTCACTTTGTTCATAGGTCTTTTGTCGCAGATAATGTTTGAATTTTAATGTAATCAGGTGCATTCATCTTTTTCTTATGTGATTTGTGCTTTGTGCATCTTGTGTAAGAAGGCTTTGCCTATCCTGACTTTCTAAAAATTATTCTTCTGTGTTTCCTTTCAAAAGGTTTTAAGATTTTTCTTTTCCTGTGGTGTTAGGGCTTTGAAACTACTTGGAATATTTTATGTATGGTATGAAGTAATGTGGAGTTTGTACACCTCCCGTCCCAACCTCAGGAATAACACCCTCCCTCCGAAATATTCATGTTTGTGGATAGGCTCTTGTGTATTGAGGGAGGGGTGCCCAGCTTGTGCCTAGAAATGAGAGATCAGGCCCCACAAAATCTCAGGGCACATGGCTTGGTCCTTCTGTTGGACCACTCATCATAAAGCAAGTCTAGGATGAAGAGGTCCTGGATTCCTGTTCTTGCTCAGCCACTGACTTGCCCTCTGACCCTGGGCAAGTTCTGCCATGCTTTCCTTTGAGGGATCAGTAACAGTTTCATACTACCCACTGGCCTCTCTCTGACTGCTCCCCAGTCCCAGGAGCTTGGATCTCATATGAGCCCACAACTTGGCTGAAGCTCCAGGAGTGAGGGCAGATGAGAAAGATCAGGTTGCTTCTAGAACACAGCATCTCGTCCCAGGCTTCAGCCTGTGGGGTCCGCGCCCCAGAGACTGAGAGATCCAGCAAAGTTCTGCAGAGAGCTCTCTCCTTCCCCTCCCTTTACCCTCTTACAGGTGTGCCAGGAGGAGGAGAGGAGGGAGATGCTGCCTCCGGCCTATGCCCTGGAGCTGCTGACGATATTCACCTGGGAGCAGGGCTGTGGGAAGGATGCCTTCAGCCTGGCCCAAGGCCTCCGGACCGTCCTGGGCCTGATCCAGCAGCATCAGCACCTGTGTGTTTTCTGGACCCTCAACTATGGCTTCGAGGAGGCTACGGTCAGCCAGTTCTTGAGGCAACAGCTTGAGAGACCCAGGTACCTCCCCACACCCCCTACCCACTCTCCTGGGCTTGGGCCTCGGGAGATAATTAACAATGATAAAACTGGGTGGGCCTGCATGGGGGCCAAAGCCAGGCACTACACGTGGCTTCCTCATTCCGTGGATTCAGCCCCAGAGGGAAATTACAATCACTTGGGGCAGTTTTTGTTTTTAAGATTTTATTGATTTATTTGAGAGAGAGAGCACAAGTGGGGTGCAGGGGCAGAGGGAGAGGGAGAAGCAGACTCCCTGCTGAGCAGGGAGCCTGATGTGGGGCTCGATCCCAGGACCCCGAGATCATGACTTGAGCTGAAGGCAGACGCTTAACCCACTGAGCCACCCAGGCGCCCCTCTTGGGGCAGTTTTTAAAAAGATTTTTCTTGTGTGAACATATCGTACGTGTGGACATTTTAGCGACACACAGCATACCTATCCAAAGGGCACATTTTGATGACGTTCTATAAAGTGAACGTCCCCGTGAAACCACCACCAGGGGCACCTGGGTGGCATATTGGGTTAAGTGTCTGCCTTCGGCTCAGGTCATGATCTCAGGGTCCTGGGATCGAGCCCCGCATCGGGCTCCCTGCTCAGCGGAGAGCCTGCTTGTGTTCTCTCTCTCGCTGTCTCTCTCTGTCAAATAAATAAAATCTTAAAAAAGAAAAGAAAAGAAAAGAAACCACCACCAGATCAAGGGAGAATATTTCCAGCACCTCAGGAGCTTCCCCTTTCTCTCTCCCGATCAGGGACATCCCAGAGGTGACCCCTTCTGTTACCCTTCCAATACTGTCTGTTTTAAAATCTTACTGAAAGGGAATCACACGGCATGTACTTTTGTGTTTGACATCTTCTCAACATTAAATGTTTGAGATCCTCCTGGATCATTGTGTGTACTTGGTTATTGTTGCTTATTGTTTTTGCGGCTGAATAGTGTTCCATGGTGTGAATTTATCACAGTATGCTTCCCATTGTGCTGATGATGGACATTTGGTTGTTTCTGCCCCGGGACTGTTACAAGAAGGCTATTAGGAACCGTCTTGTACATGCACCTCTGTGTGCGTGCACCGTTGGATACACACGTAGGAATAAGATAGCTAAGCCATGGCCGTAAGTCTTGAGCCCCTGGGGATAGATCCTCGTATCTTATAATTCTAATGTGCAGCCAGAGTTGAGGACCATTGATCCAATTTAATCTCCACAACAGCCCACGAAAGCAGGCACTGTTGTCATCCCCATTTTGCACAAAAGGAAACAGGCTCAGAGGAGATAAGTTATCTACCCCGGGTCACACAGCTAGAAAGTAGAAGAACCGGGATTGGAACCAGGTCTGCTTGACCTCAGAGCCCCTGATCTTAACCGTCGTACCAACCAGAACCTTCCTGTCCCTCTGGATTTGCAGGCCTGTGATCCTGGACCCGGCTGACCCCACGTGGGATGTGGGGGACGGAGCAGCGTGGCGCTGGGATCTACTGGCCCGGGAGGCAGGGTCCTGCTATGAGCGCTCGTGCTTTCTGCAGGCGGCAGGGGGCGCTGTGCAGCCCTGGGAGGGGCCCGTGAGTGAGGGGCTTCGGGGATCCTTGTTAGGTGTAAAGCCGCGCCTAATTCACATGCTCAGTGTTTGCTGAGCACCTAGGAGGCGCTGGGGCCGTGGGGTGTGGGACAGAGTTGCGGAGTGGGGGCTGCAGGCATGCAAACAACCTGCTCACCAAGCTGAGCCTGCTTGGAGGAACACCTCTGTGCTCGCGGGGTTACTGTCCGCTTACCACACCGTGTCCACCCAGCACAGGGGCCCTTTCTAGAATGGATCCCGTCTGTAAGGGCACCCTTTTCTGATCTGCACAAAGGCACCATATGGGCTACGGTGGCCCTCCCTCTTCCCCGCTCCTAGTCTCAGTCACCCTGACTGTCCATTGGGAGGGGGCTGGCGAGAGAAGGGATGGAGAAACTTCTATGCCTGTAAGACAACTCCTTCCTACACACTTCCAGGGCCTTCCACGTGCTGGGAGCTCAGGTTTAGGCCACCCCATCCAGCGAGACTGTGCCCAGAGGACCCCTGAGAAGAGCAGCAGTCTCCATGCTGTGCGCCCAGGGGCAGGGAGCAGGCAGCCGTCGGGCCCAGCTTCCGGCCCCTCGGGGGCTGCCTGCATCACCCCTTCCACGCTGGGGACGGCCTTGGATCTGTCTCAGATCGCCGGCAAGGACCTGGACCGCTTCATCCAGAACCACCTGAAACCAAACCCCCAGTTCCAGAAGCAGATCGGCAAGGCCATCGATGTCATCTTGGGTTGCCTTCGTGAGAACTGTGTCTACAAGGCCTCCAGAGTCAGCACGGTGAGTCGGTGCGTGGAGACACCGATGGGCACTTCCTAGGGCACCGCGTGAGGAGGGAAAGGAGCGGGGGGCCGGCAGGGCAAGTGGACATCCATGGAAGGGGCGTGTGCTGCCCTCCCAGGTATATATCTGAGTGCCAGCTTTTAAAAAAATTTTAATGATAGTTTTTTAAGCCGCTATTACCATAATCAGACCACTTCCGTCCTCTGCTCAAAATCCTCTGTGGTTTCACCGAGGACAATGGCCTCAAGGCCCGTAGGATCTGCTCCTGGTCTTTCTCTGACCTTCACTTACTCCATACTGGCCTCCTGGCTGCTTCTTGAACTCACCAGGCACAGTCCGTACTGGCTGGTGTCTCTTTCTGGAAGGCTCTTCCCCCATCCACTTGGCTCCCTCCCCTCCTTTAAGTCTGGGACCCAAGTCCCCTTCTCATGGAGGCCTGACTGCTCAATTTACAACTGTAACCTCCCTTCCATCCCCGGTCCCCTTCCTGATTGACGTGCCTCCACACAGCACTTCGCACTTTCCTGGGCTTTTGTCTGCTGACTGTCCCTCACTCCTCTCCCCTTGCTAGAATATAAGTTCCAGGAGAGCAGGTACCTTTTATGTACTCCTGTATCTTGGTACATGTGAGTACTCATAAATGTGTTGAATGAATGAATGAATGAATGAATGGATTGATTGGTTGGTTGATTGATTGAAAGAGGCCAACAGAGCACTTCTGCAGGCCCCATCTGGCCCCTAGGACCTCAATTTGCAACCTGTGGTCCAGATGTGCAATCAGTAGGTGCTGCAGATGTTGGGCTAAAATCTTTAATCCCTGACCCCCCTTCACTGCATCCCCCATTATCTGTTGTTGCACGCTGGTCTGACTTTGTGCAGGGCCCGGGGGGTCAGAGGGCAGGTGCAGACAGATATAGTCAGACTCTGCCAGGCTTCTAAGAGTCAGAGATCACTGCCTCTGTCAAGGTGCCCCCGGACCCAGCATCAGTGAGATGCCCAGTAGTGTCTGGGCTGCAGATGGGGGGGCGGGGGAGGGCAGCAGTTGGGGTCAGAGTCTGACTCCTGAGCTCAGGGACACTTGCGGGTCTGAGATGGTCCTTCCTCTGCAGGGGGGCTCGTTTGGCCGGGGCACAGACCTGAGGGGTGGCTGTGATGCCGAACTCGTCATTTTCCTCAACTGCTTCAATGACTATAAGGACCAAAGGGCTCGCCGCCCAGAGATCCTTAATGAGATGCGGGCACAGCTGGAATCCCGGTGGCAGGACCCAGTCCCCGGCCTGAGCCTCAAGTTTCCTGAGCGGACCGGGCCCGGGGCTTTGCAGTTCCAGCTGGTGTCCACGGCCCTAGAAAGCTGGATGGATGTGACCCTCCTGCCCGTCTTTGATGCTTTGGGTGGGGGCTGCCTCCAGCCTGTGCCTTGGAGGCTAATTCCCTTAACTGCTATGCTACATAGCTTGTCTGGGGTCAAGATCACCCACCTTGCAGAGTTTTTGGGTGGATGAGTGAAAATTACTGAAAAGCACCCAGCACATATTTGGTGCTTAAAAAAAAAAAAGTTCCGATTGCTATTCTACGTTGTAGATTGTGTATTATTGATTGCAGTGCTATGTAATTAACGTTCAAATATTAATAAAGGCTGGTGAGTGGCTGGGTTGGGACATGCAGATGTCTTCGTTAGAGCTCTGTGCTCAGAGTATTTCAAATTTCCACAGGGCAACTCTGCCCCGGCGCCAAACCTGCGCCCCAGGTCTACTCGACTCTCCTCAACAGCGGCTGCCAGCGGGGCGAGCACGCGGCCTGCTTCTCAGAGCTGCGGAGGAACTTCGTGAACAATCGCCCAACCAAGCTGAAAAACCTGATCCTGCTAGTGAAGCACTGGTATGGTCAGGTGAGGCCTCCATACCCCCTAGCTTCTCCCTAGCAGGAAGTAGCTGCTGTCATGGCAACTGCCCCAGCCAATCAGCTCCTCTCTTAGGCAGACCTCTCCCTTCCTTCGCTTCTTATTGGCCATCCCAAGTAGAAGGACCACCTCCTCCATCCTCCACTTCCTGCCCAGACCCGAAGCCTCTAGCTGAGAGAAAATCTTTTCTCCATCAGGCGCCAAGTGTTCATTTCTTGTGGGTGGGGTTCACCATCCCTCTCTAGCTCATCAGTGTGCCTTCCATCCTCACACTGCTAATGCTTTCCCTGTTCTTGGCCGCCCCCAGCCCTAGCTTATGCTGTTCCGCCATCACTGTCCTCTGCGTAAATTGTACTAAATAACACCCTCCAGAGCGCCCCCACTAAACGCTAATCTGAATGCACTCGCAATCATGTACTCATTCAACAAACATCTACTGAGCACCCACTGCTGCTGACGTCACTGTTGCGACGGATGTCGGCATACCAAGCTTGAATATATTGCAGCCCCCAATCCTGTACACCCTTTGAGGAGAGACTCCAGGCGGGGATCAAGCCTGAGATTCTTAGTCTCAGGTCATTGTGTGACTTTGGACAAGTCACTACCCCACCCCGGACCTCAGTTTATCCACCTGTAAAATGAGAAGGGTTCTGTTTTTTCTGTGGTTTTGTTTGTCTATTCCCCTCCCTCTCTAAGTACATAGGGCCATGCTTAGCACATAGTAGGTGCTCACAGCCACTCATTCTTTGATTGGCTTTGGGTGACATAGGTTGCAGCTCAGAACAAAAGACAGCAACCAGCCTGTGCCTCTCTGCCCCCTCGTCTATGCCCTGGAGCTCCTGACCATATACGCCTGGGAGCAAGGCTGTGGGAAAGAGTCTTTCAAAATGGCCGAAGGGCTGAAGACCGTCCTAGAGCTTGTCCAGAAGCACCAGCAGCTCTGTGTCTACTGGACGGTCAACTATGGCTTTGAGGACCCGGATATCAGAATGCACCTTCTTGGCCAACTTCAGAAAAAGAGGTGCAGACCCACTTCCCCATTGCCTTCCCTGCATCATCCTTCTCCTCCCCCACTGTCGCCCTGGAGTCATCATTGTGTCCAGGAGGGGTCCAGGGTGGGCTCTGGGTGCCCCAACCCCACTCCTCGCTCTGCTTCCTTCTGGACTCTTTACTGAGGAAGCATGGACACGTGGAGCCCCCAAAGGAGCCAGGGCCAGTTTCATTAACACAATAAAATATCATTTCTGAAATTAAGGGGCCACCCAATACCTTCCTGACTGAGGCGGCCAGACAGGAACCCTACTGTGCTTGGGAGAGATTGGGCCAACCCTAAGGTCCTGACACTCTTCTCCTTCTCCCCAGCTCCCACACCCTTTCCTAGTCCCTCCCACACCCCTGCTCCTTCACTGATTCCCACCTTCCTCACCTGCCTGCCCATCCACTCTGCTCCCAGGCCCCTGGTCCTGGATCCTGCCGACCCCACCTGGAATGTGGGCCAGGGCAGCTGGGAGCTGTTGGCCCAGGAAGCAGCAGTCCTGGGGATGCAGGCCTGCTGTAAGAGTGGAGAAGGGACGTCTGTGCAGCCCTGGGATGTGATGGTAAGAGAGGAGCCCCTGGGGTGGCGGATGCTGTTGGGGCCCACTCCCAGATCGCCTTTCCCTGCTGGTGCACACATCCTCAGCTGCTAGGAGTGTTTGCTGCTGATGGCTTACAGCTGAGACACAGGTTGTTCGGCCCCAGCCAGTGCTTGAGTGACATGGGGTACAAAAGGCCCACCCTTGTTTGAAGGCGAGACCAGCTCTGTGATGCAGTTCTTAGTCCAGCGTTCCCTGTGGGATCAGGAAAAAGCTTTTTCCAGCTGGAGCCTTACTTAGCTCCTTCCCCGGCCCTCCCTACTTCCGTCACCCCCCTTCTCCTGCAGGCACTGTCCCCAGTTAATCCATGCACAGGAATCCCCATCACGGGCTCTGCTTCTAGGGGACTGCACTTAAGATGATAGCCAGCTTCCAAAGGGACATGATTTTATTGCATTTGCTATTTTTCAGCAGGATCTCATAACCAGTGCTTAATAATACAATCTGGTGAGGCATGGGCCTTGTTCTTGCCCCCATTTAAAGTGGGGAGACCAAGGCTGTGTGTTGGTGGTGGAACCAGAACTGGAAATCAGGTCCTGCTGATGCTACCCCAGAGACCTACCAACCAGCTGAGAAAGAAAAAGGTTATGGAGATCGTGAGAGTCTCATCCGCTTAGGATATCAAGAGTCAGGGCCGGGGCATTCATAGGGAATCCTGTCTCAAGCTGGCCCTACCCGGATTCTTTCCATAGCCTGCTCTCCTTTACCAAACCCCAGCTGGGGACCTTGACAAGTTCATCAGTGAATTTCTCCAGCCCAACCGCCAGTTCTTGGCTCAGGTGAACAAGGCCGTCGATACCATTTGCTCATTCCTGAGGGAAAACTGCTTCCAGAATTCTGCTATCAAAGTGCTCAAGGTGGTCAAGGCAAATCCCCAGAGAGCTGTGGGCAAGGAGGGTCCTGCAGGCTGGTGATCTTTCCCAGACCAGGGCCAGGCCTGACCCACTTCTATCATCCTTATGACAGTCAGCACAAGGCCAGGTGTAGAAGAGAAACCAAAATGTGGTTGTGAGTGGATGGCAGAGAGAGGACCCAGATATGTCCAACACATCTCTTTTGGTTGCTTGTAACAGCCAACTCAAAAGGTGGAACAAAAGAAATATATTGGCTGATGCAAATGGAAAGCCCTGGAGTAGATCTACCATCAGGTACAGCTAGATCTAGGAGCCCATGCAGGGTCATCAGGACTCAGCTTTTCATCCCAGCTCTTGGCTCTGCCATTTTCTGTTTTGGACAGGCCCTTTCCATATGATGGTCTTTGGCATCTCTAAACTTCCAGAAAGAGGCATTCTGTTTTCTTAAAGTTCAAATAGAAGTCTTGGGATTGAGTCTCATTGGCCTGACTCGGGTTTATACCCATCCCCAAACTAATCCGTGGGACTAGGGAGACATCATGCTCTGACTGGCCAAGCCTGGCTCATGTGATGGAGTCAGCTGCACATGGACCTGAGTGTGGGGGAGGAGTGATTCCCCCAAAGAAAACCAGGATGCTGATCCCAGAAGGTAGAGGGATGCTGGGGGTGTATAAAAAGTCACATCAGATACAACCTCTGTCCACAATTGAAGTCACAAGTGAGACCCAGGTCAGCTCCAGAAGATTGTCAGCATAGAGTCAGCCAATGAAAAGTCCCAGGCCTGGTGATTTGTTGTGTGACCTCAGGCAAATACCTTCCCCTCTCTGATCCTTACCTTCCTCATCCATAACACTTGAAGATGATAACCTGGTTCACTGGTTGTCAACCGTGGCCTCACTTAGAATCATTTAAAAAATTATACTGATACCCAGTCCCCCTCCCAGGCCAATTAAATCACAGTCTCAGGGGCATAGGAGCCAGACATCAGTCATTTTTTTAAAACTCTCCTGATGCAGACAGGCTTGAGAACCACCAGTCAAAAAGAAAAAAAAAAAAATCCCTCAAATCTCTCCCAGCCCCCAAACCCCCAAACTTGATAGAATGAGAAAGTTTACATTTGTTGAAGGGTTTAAACTTATGTCTTGCATATTTCTTTTTCTCATAATCATACTATGTATTAACCCCATATTGAAGAGGTAAAACAGAGAGGTTAGGTGACTTGCCAAGGTCACACAGCAAGTTCCTGACCCACAGACTCTAGCAGGAGTCCTTCAGGGGTCAAGCCACCTCTGTGTCCTCCCCAGGGCGGCTCTTTAGCCAAAGGCACAGCTCTGCAAGGCTGCTCGGATGCGGATCTAGTGGTGTTCCTCAGCTGCTTCAGCCAGTTCACGGAGCAAGGGAACAGGCGGGCTGAGATCATCTCAGAGATCTGAGCCCAGTTGGAGGCATGTCAGCAGGAGATGCAGTTCGAGGTGAAGTTCGAGATCCCCAAGTGGGAGAATTCCCGCGTACTGAGTTTCTCCCTGACGTCCCAGATGATGCTGGATCAGAGCGTGGACTTTGACATGCTGCCAGACTTTAATGCCTTAGGTGAGGTACCCAGGCATAGTCCTGAGAGGGGGAAAAGCGGAGGCCAGGCTGCCAGGGACAGTTTTTGAGGTTGTGCGGTGCACAATCAGAGCACACCTGTTCACCGCATAGGCCTTGTACACATGTATGTTCATCACCATTCTCCTGCAAAGTGGAGAAAAGGATACCTTTGTCTAATTCACACAGCAGTGCTACGTGGTCTCACCGTGGCTCTGGGCTGGGCCCTAGTCTCAGCAGTTGCACCAACATGATGGATGACCTTGGGTGAGGGACTTGGCTGCCTCGAGCACCAGTGTCATCCCTTGACGATGTGGGTATTGGGGCGTCGCCGTGCATCCCCAGCTTTGAGTATTTGTGCGCAGTTCTCCTCCACCTGCCACAGACCCATAGGATCCATGAGTTCAATAAATTCACCGAGCATGTGCCCAGCGTTCTCCAGGCACTGAGGATAAATCCCTAAACAAAACAGACACAGATCTCTTTGTATCTATTCAGTTCTGAGTTTGCAGAGTGAGGACATCCCCTGTATCTGAATTTATTTGGTTCCCGAGGTTGGGAAAACAAGTGACAAGGAAGGGATTCATCCAGAAATGTATCTGAATCTACATCGTTCTTCAGAAAGCAAGAGTCTGAATATCAAGGAATGCCTTTAAGGGCAGTGAAACCAGAGGGTGACATCAGCTCACCACATACGGTCCTATTCCCTACCGGAGGCTCTGAGACCAAAGCTCTCCCTGTGTTAGAGAGGGATGAGCAAGCAGCCAAGAGCCGTTCAAGATGAGTTAGCTCCCAGCTGAGACTTTCTTCATGATAGGCAAACGGAAGGGTTGAAAGGGGGCAGGAAGGAACATAAGATATTTTAACGCTGGGCCATGCCATGTCTGTGCTCCAGCTAAAATCACCCTGTGGCTCCCCACTCCCCCAGTGGGTCCCAGCCCAGCCATTAGGGAAATGCCCAAGTAGGAGGTCCTGGAAGTCCTTGCTCAGTTGGCCCCAGCGGGACTCTGGGGAATGAACTGATGGTGGCCCCCTCCCTTTCTCCAGGCCAGCTGGTCCCCGGCTACAGGCCCCCGTCTCAAGTCTACGTCGACCTCATCCACAGCTACAACCACGCAGGCGAGCACTCTACCTGCTTCACGGAACTGCAGTGGGACTTCGTCATCTCTTGGCCCACCAAGCTGAAGAGTCTCATCCGACTGGTGAAACCCTGATACCGGCAGGTGTGGCGTGAGGACAGGGCCGCCCCAGCGAGGTCCTGGGTGGGGGCAGGGCCAGCCCTGGCCAGAACCCTGGGTTGGTGGAGCGGAAGGAGAGGTACTTCCCAGCCCATGGGACCTTCGTTGGCTTATCTGGAAAACTGGGCTAGGTCACAGGATTTGAGGGGATAATGCATGGCCAGGCATCTGACACATGGAGGTGCTCGGTAGAATTTGGGGGTGGGCTTGCCAGCTCTGGAAGGGGTCCCTCCTGCGCCTCTTCATTGCCAGTGTGAACCAACACATCCTCTTTCCCCTTATTCCCCAGTGCAACAAGATGCCCAAGGGGAAAGGCTCCCGGCCCCCCAGCACGGGCTGGAACTCCTGACAGTGTATGCTTGGGAGCAGGGCAGCCAGGACGCCCAATTCAACATGGCCCAGGGCTTCCGCACCATCCTAGAGCTGGTCAGTCAGTACCGTCAGCTCTGTGTCTACTGGACTGTCAACTACAACAACAAGGACAAGACTGTCAGAGACTTCCTGAACTGGAAGCTTCACCAGCCCAGGTTCTGGCCCACCCTCACCATCACAGAGTCTCAGAGATGGGGTTGCTCACTCTCCCACATCCAGAGGGCACAGACCAGAGACAGCAAAATCCTCTTCCTAAGACTGAGCTCCTTTCTAACAGGGACCTCCTTAGCACCTGAGGGACAGGCAGTCCGTTTCCTTGTCCCCCATAAATAGGGTTGCCAGATGAAGTGCAAGGCTGCAAGTCAAGTTTGAATTTCAGATAAACAGTGAATTGCGTTTTAGGATAAGTATGTCCCATGCAGCACTGGGGATATACTTATGTTTATCCAAAACTCAAATTTAACTGGGGCATCCTCTATTTGTATTTGTTAAATCTGGCAGCCCTACTTGTGAACCCACCAGGTAACGTAAGCATGTCTTATTCTTTGGGATCTTGCCTCCCTCTCAAATGGTGCAGAGAAAGCAGAGAAGCTTTCACAGATTCGTGATGCATCTCCAGTCCGTGGGTAATGGCCGCTTAGCATGGTATGTTGAAAAAGACTCTGAGGTGGTCCATCTGCCACAGATGTAGGAAGGGAGAGTGGTAGGACCGGTACCGTGATGAGTTACCAATGCCAGCTACCTGCTGAAGGGGTGTGGCCCAAAGGAACACAGTGATTGATTAGTGATGTCTGCCCTGGATGTAGAAGGGAGAAGTGGCCGGGGCAGAGTGTTGGGTGAGGGAGGAGACTAGTCCAACCAGTCTCTCAGGAGGACGCCCCGATGTTACCAGGAATAAGCCTGACTGTAATGGCAATTGCAGGCCCATCATCCTGGATCCAGCTGACCCGACAGGCAACCTCGGCCACAATGCCCGCTGGGACCTGCTGGCCAAGGAAGCCGCCGCCTACATGTCTGTCCCGTGCTGCATGGGCAGGGATGGCACCCCCATCCAGCCATGGCCAGTGAAGGTAAGAGAACCGTGGTGCAGCAGGGCACGCTTTGTTGGGGGCAGTGGGCTCAGGGGAGGGCCATGACTCCAGCCAAAGGGGCAGGCCCAGCCATGGCCCCACGTGTGCCCCCTGCCCCATGTGCTGGCTGTCCCTGTGGTCTCAGCTTCGCCAGGAAGGTTAGGGCTAACCCACTTCTTCTATAACTTTCCCCCAGGCTGATGTGTGAAGGCCAGAGAGTCCATGTTTGTACCAGATGGACAGAGGAACACCAGCCCTCGGCATGAGGAGACTCAGGGTCACCTACCAGATGTGTGTGTGCACGTGTGCGCATGAGAGATTGATCCAACCTCTCCGTCCAGCCTCCCATCTGATATCCCTGCCTCCCCACTCCACGCTCTCCTCCTGCTCTGTGTAGCCAGCCCCGCTGATGCCCCCTTGTATCAGGTGGGCACTGGCCACCTCGCAGACTCCCCTCCCTCCTGTGGCCAGGCATCAGAGTCCAGGGTCCATGGGCTGGCAGCAGCCTGCTTTTCCAGCCTCCCCGCCATGACTCTGCTCTCAGACAGAGACTGGTGCATCCCACACTGCATCCTGCCCCTGCTGAGAGTGTCCTCCTCCTTCCTGACTTCTCTGCCCGTCCACACCAGCTCATATCTCCTGCTGAGGAGCTCCCTGAGCTCAGCCACTGGCCGGGGAGCCCGCCCAGACTGGCTAGTGTTGTCTGTCACAGACAGAGGGAGTGGGGCCCCGCGTACCCTGCAGTCCCTCCCGTGGGACGCCTGACTGAATACCTGTTATTTTCTTCCCCCTTCCTGTTGTACTCACTCCCCGTGTGCGCATCTCGAGGCCATGCCCTGTTTGCCTTCCTGACTTTTTACTGGACTCTTGTCTTCTCTCCTGACCTGCTGGGACATCGCCAGTGGGATTCTCCATCCCCAGAGGCTGAACGTGAGCCAGTGCCCAAACAACAGTGCTCAGCCTGCTTCTCTCTGCCCCCCAGAGCAAATGCACCGGGTCCTTGCAAGAGGCACTCCTGACCTCTGGGCCAACAGCAGTGTCCCTTGTAGTCAAGGCTCAGCACGGAAAACAAAACAGTCCAAGAATCGTAAGCAGAAAGGGATTCCATCTAAATCCCTGGATGGTCTGGAGGAGCGGAAGGCAGGGGCCGCAACTGGACTGTGGGTTTGAAGATTAGAGCACCGCGGCCGAATCAGATTCATTGGCTGCAGTCGGGAGGCGACTGCAGCCGATGGCCCTCACACCCACAAAGCGGGGGGCCAGACCCAGAATGTGGGCTCCAGTGGCCACAGGCGAGGCTCAGGGCTTGCTAGCCACCAGCACGGCGGGAAGATGCCTTTTGTCCCCCGCCTTCAGCACGATCGAGATCACAGCCGGAACTCGGGTGACAGGGCAGGCACGGGGAGGAGCAGACGCCCGGCGCCCACGGCGGGCCTCGGGGACAGCACCCCCGCGGATGCACAGTGAACATCTGTTGGGTGGGTGAGCAGGCGGTCGGGCCCCGAGGGAGGAGCCGGAGGAGACAGAAGGGAAGGAGCCACGATGCATCCCCCACCCCCTAGCCCCCGCGAGTCTCAGCGAGCCTGACTCTCCATGGCCCATGGCTGGGCGCTGCCGAGGTCCTGTAACACAGTAGCTCAGACCCGGGGGCTTATCAACCACAGTGTATTTCTGGCAGCTCCGGAGGCACCGTCGGGGTCTACTGAGAGCCCCTTCCAGGCTGCACACCTCTTGCATCCCTCCGGCCTCTTCTTATGAGGGCGCGAATCCCATTCACGAGGACACCACCCTCAAGACCTCATCGCCTCCCAAAGACCACACCTCCTGGTACCATCACACCAGGAAGAGGGTTTCCACATAGGAACTGGGGGACACAGCCCAGGGCAGGGATGCAGGATGGGGGGGTTGAGGAGGAGCCCTCCCCTCTCTAGCGCTGTTCTCTGGGAGGGAGACCATGCTGGAGAGCAGGTCCTCTGCTTCCCCTGGGACTACAGCGGGGGAGGCTCAGACGCCGAGCCGGCTCGCACCTCCTGTGTGCCCCCCTGTGACGCTGAGGGCACACGGTGCTAATAAAGTCTCCTTAGACTCAACCTCCCTGACTGCCTGCGTATCCAGGGGTGGGACTCTCAGGACCCCAAGTTACACCTTTGGGGTTGGCCAGTTCCAAGAGCTCAGGGCAGACACTTGCAGGCAGCAGAGACCTGCCCCGCCAAGCACCCAGCACCAGGTGGGGGCCTGGCCTTGGTCTTGCTCGTCCTGGGAGGAACTGGTGGTGGGTCTCACTTCAGTAACTCCTACCTTCATGACACGGACTCTAGACCTGAATCCCCCCTAAAATGACTCTTGAATGAGGGGAATTGTGAGATGAACTTTGTGACTATCCCCAAATGGGGTAGCCCCAGTAGGTAGGAGTAAGGAGGACCTGTCACCTGGGCGGGGCTGATCCCAGCGGAGATTTATTTTACTCTAACTCGTTGGCCTCTGACAATGGCTACCCTGGTTTGGACATAGTACCCCACTGTCACTTTTGAGGGCTTCCTGATACAGCCAAACCCTTAGATAGACGTCAGTTCCAACTTGATTTATACATTTAATGATCCTAAAGATACAAAAATGCCCACAAGCACTTTCCCCGGAACTAGACAAACTGATACTAAAGGTCTTATGGAAACATACCCGTGCCAAGGAAAGTTCAGAAAATTAAAAAAAAAAAAAAAAGAGCTCCAAGGAGGGAGTAGCCCCAGCCAGTATTAAAACTTACTGGGGGAGGGGGCGCCTGGGTGGTTCAGTTGGTTAAGGGTCTGCCTTCAGCTCAGGTCATGATCTCGGGGTCCTGGGATCAAGCCCCATGTCGGGCTCCCTGCTCAGCCAAGAGTCTGCTTCTCCCTCTCCCTCTGCTGGTCCTCCTGCTCATGCTCTCTGTCTCTGTTTCTCTCTCTCAAATAAATAAATAAAATCTTAAAAACAAAAAACAAAACAAAAAAAAAACTTACCAGGAAGCCAGAGCCTCACGGGCTAAAAAATAATGAAAATCTAAATGTGATCAATCAGCAATTGCAAGCTAAGCAGAGAGCCAGGGGGCCTTCCTGGTAACACACAAAGAGGCTCCATCTCCTGCAGCCAGAAGGCAGAGGAGAAAGAGGACCCAGTCCAGAAATGCAGCATGCACACAATGGTTTTTTTTTAATTTGTCAATTTAATTTTTAATTTAAAAAAAACTGTGGTTGAGATGTAATTCACACACTATGAATTTCGACTTTTTTAAAGTGTACAACTCAGCGGTTTGGGGATAGTCACAAAGTTCATATTTAGGATATTCACCAGGTGAGCCGTGACAAGGGGCATCCATTATCCTAATTCCAGATCATTTTCATCAGCCCCAAAAGAAACCTGAATCCCATTAGCAGTCACTCTGCTTTCCTACCACCCCTTCCCCCCTAATCCCTGGCCACCACTGATCTGCTTTCTGTCTCTGTTATCGACACTTCGTACAAATGGGATCACACCATATTTGTCCTTTTGTGTCCAGCTTCTTTCACTCAGCATCACGTGTTCAAGGTGCATCCATGTTGTGGCTTCTACCTCCGTGCTTCATCCCTTCTTTTTTTTTTTTTTTTTTTAAAGATTTTATTTATTTATTTGAGACAGACAGAATGAGAGACAGAGAGCATGAGAGGGAGGAGGGTCAGAGGGAGAAGCAGACTCGCTGCCGAGCAGGGAGCCCGATGCGGGACTCGATCCCGGGACTCCAGGATCATGACCTGAGCCGAAGGCAGTCGCTTAATCAACTGAGCCACCCAGGCGCCCCGTTCATCCCTTCTTATTACTGGACAATATTCCACTGTATGGAGAGACCACGTTGTGTTTATCCAGTCATCCATTGGTGGGTGTTTGGACTGTTTCTACTTATGGCCATTATGAAAGAACGCTGCTATGAACGTTGGTATATGATTTTATGCAAACATATTTTCGGGGCGCCTGGGTGGCTCAGTCGGTTGAGCGGCTGCCTTCAGCTCAGGTCATGATCCCAGGGTCCTGGGATCGAGCCCCGCATCAGGCTCCTTGCTCAGCAGGCAGCCTGCTTCTCTCCCTCTGCCTCTGCCTGCCGCTCCCCCTGCTTGTGCTCTCTCTCTCACTATCTCTCTCTCTGTGTCAAATAAAAATAAATAAAATCTTAAAACAAAACAAAACAAAAAACATATTTTCATTTCTCTTGGGTGTATATACCCAGGAGTGGAATTGCTGGCTTATATGGTAAGTCTGTATTTAGCCATGACGACCCACCCTAATGTGTCCCATAGCACTGTACCACTCACACCACCTCAGCAATGAGTGGGGCTTCTCTGAATCCTCCCCAACACTTGCTATTGCCTATCATTTTGATGATAGCCCCCCCCCAATGGGTAATCAGGTCTGCGAACTAAGGTCAGGACCCTGTGTGGGAAAGAACGGGACTCTGACACACAGCCGGGGGACATAAGGGGTGGAGCCCCCAAAGATCTTGAGTCCCCAGATTCCTCTGAACCCTCCAAGCTGCAGCCCTCCCGTTAAAAACTAGCACCTCCCCCCTTACAAGGAGACCCTGCAGAGGCCTCTCTTCTATAAATCATCCCCCGCCCCCATGACCTGCACCCACTTCCCCTCCTGCCTGGTGAGTAGGACTAGGGCTAAGTCCCAGAAGAACCCAGCCAGGGATGCTGGGCTGAATAAGGGAAAGATGGACCTGTACCCCAAACAGCCGGACAATCCAGCCGGCGTGTACCAACAAAAGCCAGGCGGGTATGAGTGGGAGTGGACCCAAGGGTGCTTGATCAAGGGGCTGCTGTGTAAGACCGGATGAGGAAGAGTTTATTGATTTGGAAGTCTCTCCTGGATTCGGGACTTCATACGCAGTCCAGGAGCCCAGAAGGTGGAAGCTTGCTGCTAGCAGAGCTTCTAGAAAAATGGGAAAGGTTAAGAGCTGTGCTGAGTGAGATTTGAATGACAATATTGCCTGAAGGATGGGGGAAGATGGGGCTCAAAGGTCAGAGAGGTGGACTTGAGGGGGTGGATATGGCACATAAGGCCAGAAGGGCCACCGAATTATCTCCCATGGAAAAGCAGAGAAGGCACCTTTACCGAGGCTGAGGAATCGGCTAGTGAGCAGACCCAGCATCACTAAGAAGCTCGAGTGGCCCCCTCCATAGAAGACATCATGGTCCCCTGAATAGCACTGGGGTTGGTGGGACCATGAAATAATATCAGCCATGAGACAACGCTGACCCATCAGGTGGACACAATTCTCCTGTAAAGGGTAGGGTCGAGGGGGCAGCCGGGAGGCCCTGAGCCCCAGAGAGTTAAAGAGCTAGTCATAAAATAGGGCGTCCCTAGGGGGCGCCTGGGTGGCTCAGTTGGTTAAGCGACTGCCTTCGGCTCAGGTCATGATCCTGGAGTCCCAGGATCGAGTCCCGCATCGGGCTTCCTGCTCGGCGGGGAGTCTGCTTCTCCCTCTGACCCTCCTCCCTCTCATGCTCTCTGTCTCTCATTCTCTCTGTCTCAAATAAATAAATAAATAAAAATCTTTAATAAAAAAAAAAAATAGGGCCTCCCTAGGAGCAGACTAAATGGGCCACAAACCAGGAACTACTCAATTTGCACCATCAAAATACTTCGAAGACAGATAATTAGGACCCAGGGAACTTTCCCCCAAAATGACACCATCCCTTCCCCAGTGCTTCCCAGGGACCCTGTCTGTGACCCATGACAACTCCAGAAAACATATGATCCTAGAGCCGGGTGGGGGTGGGGGTGGGGGGAGGAGGCTATAAAGATCAGCATTAGAATAACTATTAAAAATTGAATATAAAGATCTATTCCTTATATGTGCTATAAGAAATGATAGCATTGTATCAAAGTTAAAATTCTAAATCACATCACTACTCTGTGTTTCTGTAACAAGATATCCATGTGCTTAGGGGATACATATTGAAGTATTTAGGAGGAAAGGGGTCTGGGCGATTTTGACATGTCACTATGGGTTCATCAGTTGTAACAAACGTTCCAGTCTGGGGGGACGGGATGTGGATAGTGGGGGGAGGCTGTGCATAGGAGGGCAGGGGGTCTCTGGGAAATCTCTAGGCCTTCTGCTTAATTTTACTTTAAAATACAAAGTCTATTTTAAAAAGAGAGAGAGAGAGATGGGGCACCTGGGTAGCTCAGTTGGTTAAGTTTCTGCCTTTGGCTCAGGTTGTGATCCCGGGGTCCTGGGATCAAGCTCCGCATCTGGGTTCCCACTCAGCGGGGAGTCTGCTTCTCCCTCTGCCTCTCTCCCCAGCTTGTGCTCTCTCTCTCTCTCTCTCTTATTCTCTCTCTCAAATAAATAAATGAAATCTTTAAAAATAAGAGAGTAAAGGGGCATAATATCTGCAACATGCACTCAAATAGCAATACTGTAATAATACCAATAAGATGTCCATGTGGAGAGAATGAGGAACCAATGCGGTAAAATATTCTGGGGGAAGGGCATAAGAGATTTCTTTATACTCATCTTGCACGTTTTCTCAGGGTTTTAAATTATTTCAAAATAAAATGTTTTAAAAATAATAGTAAAGCTTGGACTTTGGGATCAGGTCATGAGGAGTTAGAACCTAGCCAGACAACCTACAAGCTATGTGACTTCCCACCTCTCTCTCCCTGCCTTCCTGTTCTCCTCCAGAAAAGGAGCCTGCTGGCCCCTGACCAGCCTACCTCTAGATGTGGCAGGAACAGGCCTAAGGACAAGGAAAGACCCTTACTGGGTGGATGTGGTAGTTAAGATTCTCCGGAGAACAGAAACAATGGGATGTATAGATCCAATTCAGGAATTGGCTTGTGCTGTTGTTAAGGCTAGCAAGTCCAAATTCAGTTGGTCGTTGCGGGGCCGGGGGTATGTGGGTGTGGCTGGAGACCCAGAAAGAAGTTGATGTTGCAGCTTGAGTCTGAAGGCCATCTGCTGGTGGATTTCCTTCTTCCTCAGGAGAGGGCAGTGTTTTTCTATTAAGGCCTTCAACTGATTGGACAAGGCCCACCTGTGTTATAAAGAGTATTCTGTTTTATTCAAAGTCTACTGATTGAAATGTTAATCTCATCTGGGGGGGGTGTGGAAAGCCTTCACAGAAAGATCTAGAATAATGTTTGACCAAATATCTGGGTACCATGGCCCAGCCAAGTTGACATACAAAATTAATCATCACAGAGAAGGGCGGGCAGAGAAGGGCCCTGTTCTTCCCACATCTCAGGGATTTTTTTTGCCTTCTGTATTATTTTTTTTTAATTTTTTATTGTTATGTTAATCCCCATACATTATATCATTAGTTTGAGATGTAGTGTTCCATGATTCATTGTTTGTGCATAACACCCAGTGCTCCATGCAGAACATGCCCTCCTCAATACCTGTCACCAGGCCAACCCATCCTCCCAGCCCCCTCCCCTCTAGAACCCTCAGTTTGTTTTTCAGAGTCCATCGTCTCTCATGGTTCGTCTACCCCTCTGATTTTCCCCCTTCATTCTTCCCCTCCTGCTACCTTCTTCTTTTTTTTTCTTAACATATATTGCATTATTTGTTTCAGAGGTACAGATCTGAGATTCAACAGTCTTGCACAATTCACAGCGCTTACCAGAGCACATACCCTCCCCAGTGTCTATTACCCAGTCACCCCATCCCTCCCACCCCACCCCCCACTCCAGCAACCCTCAGTTTGTTTCCTGAGATTAAGAATTCCTCATATCAGTGAGGTCATATGATACATGTCTTTCTCTGTTTGACTTATTTCGCTCAGCATAATACCCTCCAGTTCCATCCACATTGTTGTAAATGGCAAGATCTCATTCCTTTTGATGACTGCATAATATTCCATTGTATATATATACCACCTCTTCTTTATCCATTCATCTGTCGATGGACATCTTGGCTCTTTCCACAGTTTGGCTATTGTGGACATTGCTGCTATAAACATCGGGGTGCACGTACCCTTTCAGATCCCTACTTTTGTATCTTTGGGGTAAATACCCAGTAGTGCAATTGCTGGATCATATGGTAGCTCTATTTTCAACTTTTTGAGGAACCTCCATACAGTTTTCCAGAGTGGCTGCACCAGCTTGCATTCCCACCAACAGTGTAGGAGGGTTCCCCTTTCTCCGCATCCCCGCCAACATCTGTCATTTCCTGACTCGTTAATTTTAGCCATTCTGACTGGTGTGAGGTGGTATCTCATTGAGGTTTTGATTTGGATTTCCCTGATGCCGAGTGATATTGAGCACTTTTTCATGTGTCTGTTGGCCATTTGGATGTCTTCTTTGGAAAAATGCCTGTTCACGTCTTCTGCCCATTTCTTGATTGGATTCTTTGTTCTTTGGGTGTTGAGTTTGATGAGTTCTACCTTCTGTATTATTTTTTATTGCTAGACAGAGGCAGCTGGTGGGAGCCCTCTGGGGGTTTCATTTTCATAGAGCTCTGGATGGACTTGCACATCCCCTCTGGCCTGTGCACTTCTGGGCCCGTGTCCCACCCTTGCTGGGCTGGGTAGGTGCCTGCCGAGGCCCCGCAAGTATTGACAAGCATGCTGAGGAACTGGGCACAAAGAAGCTCCCGCCTTCTGACACTCTGGGACTTGTATGTGCCCAGTGATGTGTCGTGGAATGTTCGTGTGTTTGGTGGGGTCCGGAGCCGACTGCCAAGAAAGAATTCTTGAGGGGTCTTTGATGCAAAAATGGTGGTTTTATTAAAGCATGGGGACAGAACCCCTGGGCAGAAAGAGCTGCTACCCCAGGATTGTGAAGGGCAACTGATTATATACTTTGGGTTGGGGAAACTGAAGCGAAGGGAAGTTCCAAAAGGATTTTCCAATGCTGAAGAAGACTCACAGCATCCTGGAGGCCTTGCCATTGTCAAGCTAAGGTAGTTTTTCCCTCCAGCAAAGCATTAACGTTAAGACAGTTGGGAGTTTCCTGGAGGAACGTTATATTCCACCTGCCTCAAGTATTTGTCAGGCTTCAGGTTAGAAGGTATTTAATTTTATCTACATTTCCTTCTGCCTTTGTGTCCCACATCACGCACCGGCAGAACTAGAACCTGAATCTGGCTCAGATTTTGCCTTTCCGTGTGTCCCTGAGCAAATCAGTCCCCTCTCTGGGTCCTTTTCTCCTCGCTGCTCTCATCGACTCTGACTTCCCAGGCCCTGGAGACAAGGGTGTTAAAAAGGAAAAACCAAGCCCCAAATGCTCCCCATGACTGTAAACCGAGACTTACTTACATTTTTGACCTATGCCTGGAACGTGACCTTTGAAGAGTCAGCCTGAGATTTCCCCATCAGCACTAGTGATGTCATCTGCTGGATAAACACTCTGCCGGCCCAGTCCCTTGGACCCAAAAAGATGTCCTGGCCTGAAACGGTCCTTTCTTTTCCTGTTAACAGCTTCTTGCTCCACCCTCCTTCCTGTAAAAACCTTCCATTGTGTAACAACTTCTGGAGCTCTTTCTACTTTCTAGGTGGGATGCTGCCCGATTTATGAAGCACTTAATGAAGCCAATTAGATCTTCAAATTTATGCCATTGAATTTTGTTTTTTGACAAGGGGAAAAGGGAAAGAGCCTTGAAAGATGACCTCAATCCCCTGTAAAAAGATGATTTGCTTAACAACTTCTTAAATAGCATTTGCAAGTGCCCCCTCCCCGTTCTAACGTGAAGCCTACGAGAGAGGTACCATTGTTAAGCCATTTCACAGATGGGGAAGTTGAAGCACAAAGAGAGCAGGCGATCTGTTCAAGGACACTCTAGCATGGATCAAGCCGTCCTAAGGGGGCTCCAGAGTCTAAATACAAGGACACCCGGGGATGGGGCGCCTGGGTGGCTCAGTCGTTAAGCGTCTGCCTTCGGCTCAGGTCATGGTCCCGGGGTCCTGGGATCGAGCCCCGCATCGGGCTCCCTGCTCCGCGGGAAGCCTGTTTCTCCCTCTCCCGCTCCCCCTGCTTGTGCTCTCTCTCTCTCAAATAAATAAATTAAATCTTTAAAAAAAAAAAAAAAAAAAAGGACGCCCAGGGAGGAGCTGACTGGCCGGCTGCCCACCCTGCAGGGGTGGGCAGAATTCTCTACGAGGAAGTCAGCTGGAGCATTCTGTGAGTTTCAGTTTCTAGGCTTTCGCCTGGTGATTTGCAGTTTCCTGGTTCTTGAATGTGAGTTTTGGTTTCCTGGCTCCGGGTAAGGGAGTGGCTCCTTCTCCTTTCCTTTCCGTCCAGTTAGCCGTCACCGCCGCCACCAGGAGCAATGGGGATCTGGGTGTCGAATCTGTACTCCGTGCAGCCCGAGAAGCTGGATGAACTGATTGAGAACTCCCTGAGGCCCTATGGAGAGTGTCAGAAGCAGATCGATGACTCGGTGAACGCCATCTGTAATGTCCTGCAGGAAACGGAGCAGATCCCCCACATGATAAGTGTGGTGAAAGTGAGTGGACGGCTGGGGGTCAGGGCTTCTGGGAGCCTGGAGGTTCAATGGCCACCGGAAGGAGGAGTGACGTGGTGCTGAGTGCCTTCCAGGTGACAGGCTTTGGGTGCACAAGACATCCTCTTGCCCTCGCCACCCTCGAGGGACGTGATGGAGCATGGGTTTAGGAGCAGCTCTACCTTGACTACTGTGCACCCCGGGGCAGGTTACTTAACCTCTCTGTGCTTCAGTCTCTGAATCTGTAAGATGAGAGAGGAAGAATAATCCCAGACTGTAATGAGGCTATAATGTTCTTGGTATAGGGCCATAGTTAGTGCTCAATAAATGAGCTGTGATTCCTCACCGTCATTGTTTCTATCCTCCCCATGTCACAGAGGAGTAAACTGAGGCCGGGTGATTCAGTAAAACTACCCAAAGGTCGCTCTGTGGTTTCTCAATGGCAGGAGGGGGTGGCTCTCATCAGGTAGAAGTGTTTGGTGCTAGGGGTACAAATCCCAGGGCTGAGGCTGAAGATTCCGGGCCTCTGGGGGGAGGAAAAGGAGCTGGGAAGGTGCCAGGTGGGAGAGAGTTAGAGGTCCGCCAGCCCCGGAGCCCTCCTTCTCTGCACGCACCGTGCCTCCTGGCGGCCGCCTCATGCATGCCCAGCAGTCCTGGAAGTAAAGACACCTGGATACTTGGTATCCCTTGGCCTTGGCCCAGATGAGGAAAATGAGGCACAAGGAAGTGACTTAGCTGGAGGCAGAGCTGGACTTTAAACCCAGATGCTCTGCTTGGGAGCGCACGCCCCGAACCACTAGGCCATCCCGCCTCTCGATATGGTTCACTTTTTCCTAATTAAAATAAAACATAGGAAAAGGGCACTGATCTAAGTGTACATCCCGATAGATTTTTCACAAACAACACACATGTGTCACCTACACCCAGATGGAGAAAGGAAACCTTCCCGGCCCCAAGAGCCCCGGGACCCACCATCTAGTCCCTACCCCCAACCCTCCCCTAACCACTCTCCAGACTTCCAACAGCATAGATTCGTTTTGCCGTTTTGTTGTTTTTTTTTTAACTTGGCATAATTGTAGGGTGACCAACCCCATGCTGGTCTGCCCAGGACTGAGGGGTTTTCTGTGCTAAAACTGGGAATGTCCCAGGAAAACCAGACAGGTTGGTGGCCAGATGTAAATGAAATCATGCACGCTGTAGCTTTGTTGTGTGGCTTCTTTGACCCCATCCTGTTTATGAAATGGATATTGTTGTGTGCGGGCGTCTGTTTACCCTTTCAACGCTGGGTAGTTCTCCAGCGTGCGAGGACACCACATTTGTCCACCCTATTGCTGATGGCCATTGCTCATATGAGAGGTGCTCCTATGGGCATCCTGATGCAGGTCTTTGGGTGGACAAATGGACGCCTGGCGACATTTGAGGCTTTGGCTTGATTTGAGAAATACTATGGCCTGCTGGGGCGTCTGGGGACCCCAATGGGTCCAGAGTCTCACATCTACGTCTCTGTCACTGGCAGGGCGGCTCCTATGGCAGGAAAACCATGTTGAGGGGCAACTCCGATGGGACGATTGTCATCTTTGTCAGTGACCTTGAACAGTTCCAGGATCAGAAAAAAAAACAAGATAAAATCCTCAACAAGATCTGGCAGTGTCTGAAAGACTGTCAGCTCACAATGAAGCTGCCGGCCAAAATGGAGGTCCAGAGGTTCCACAGTGGGCTCACCCTCCAGCTGTCCACAAAATGGCAGAGCATCACTTTTGAGGTGCTGCCTGCCTACAACGCTCTGGGTGAGTTGTTCCTGGGTGTGTGAGGAGCACTGGTCTGGAGAGGTGTGCTGAGAGAGCAAAGCCGAAGAAAGGGGTGGCAGACAGCCATGGGGGTCCTCGAGGCTGGGGATGGGATAGACACCACTGGTATGTTCCAAAGCCAGGGACCACATACCTTCAAGAGAGGAGGTCCCTCCTGCCGGAGGCTTACTCTCTTCTCTAGAACATTTCCCCCACCTCCTAACTGACTTTGGAGAAAATGTCCTAGATTCCAGAATCTAGAGCAGAGTTTCTCAAACTATGACATGCACACAAATCACCAGGGAACCTTGATAAAATGCAGGTTCTGATTCAGGAGATTGGGGCAGGGCCACGGAGTCTGTATGTCCAACCAGGGCCATGCTGCTGTTGCTGGTTCACACACCACCCCCTGGGGATTTAGACTAGAATAAATGTTGGTTAGAAGAAGAGGATGGGGCAAACATCTGGGAAAAGTTCAGCTGGGGCAGGCATTTGGAGTCTGCCTCCTGACTAGGTCAACATTAAGGCAACTGGTTAGAGGAATGGATAGTTGGTTGGATGGACGAATGGACAGACAAATGGACAGATGGACGGATGGATGGATGGGTGATAGATTGGATGGATGAATGGTTGGATGGAAGGAAGGAAGGAAGGAAGGAAGGATATGATAGATTGGACGGATGGAAGGGAGGAAGGAAAGATGGATGGGTGGATGGATGGATGGTAGATAGGAAGGAAGGATAAAGCTCAGCCTAGTGACAGCTTAGTCTCAAGCACAGGTGCATGTAATCACAAACTTAAATGTCAGAGCTGAAATTAAACCCCTCATTAAGCAAACAGGAAAACTGAAGGAAAGGAATGTCCCAGAGACACACAGCCAGTTACTGATAGAACTAGAATAAAAGCCCAGATCTTCTAAACCCAAAGCTGGGATGCCTTTAAGATGAAGACACACACACACACACACACACACACACACACACACACACCCCTCTGTGACTCACATTCACAGGAAGGCAACCAAGATAGAGAAAAGTGCACTGGTTTGGAAGGTAGGCAGCCCTCAGTTCCTATCCTGGTCCCACCACTTACCCACTTTTGCCAACTCTAAGATCAGACTCCAAATGGCTAGTTTACGGGGCCCTTAGGATGATAAGGACTACCTCAAACAAGGGCTGGGGTCAAGGTGAAGAGACCCCGTGTGACTCAGAATTCTGAGGAAATCCTATGTTCTCTCTTGTTCGGAGTATGGTGGCTGGAGACTGGGCCAGGGCGCCCTCTGCTGGGTTCACCCTAACATGCAAGGATGGTGTGAAAACGACAAACACGCTCTTCCTCGCATGTGGTATCCAGGCGCTGCCACCAGGTGGCGCTAGAACTGCACGTTCCCAACCGAGATCCCTCTGGGGAAGGACAGGATAAGGATTGCTTTCTGGGAAAAGTAACCTACTGGGGAATTCTTAAATAATCTGTCGGAGTGAATGAAAGGAACAAGCTGGCTACTGGCTCCTCTTGTTTGTGTGTTTGTAAAGTGTGCTTGTAAACAGTAGAGCTCCGCTAGCAAGAGTGGAAATCCTGTGGAAATCCTGTGATCCTATTGACATTCCTCCCCTCCGTAGCATATGCTTCTTTAGCCCCACACCAGTGGTTCTCAAACTTCCGTGGGGATCAGAATCCCCTGAGAAACAGTAAAAAAAGAGAGGCCCGAGCTCTCTCCACTTGGGTGTCAGACCTCCTGCAAAGCTCATCTGGACTTGAGAGCTTCCTGGGCCCATGCTCCAGATTAGCTGGGCAGCAGGATTCCGACTGGCACCCAGTTTGAGAACCACTACCCGGCATCGCAGGGTCCAGTTCTGAGGGGAGTATGCCTGCCCGCTGGCCTCTTAACTCCAGCCTCCAGTGCCCTGCCTTCACCTTACCTGCCTCCTCAGAGTCCCTGTATCCTTGACTCTCCGAAACAGAAGGTTCACCGGCTGGGCTCCGTAGCAGAATATACCGTATGCGATCTATGGACCCTATTTTCTTCCAGGTATATGCCAGCCATGCCAACCCCATTTGTTCAAGGAGCCACCTTTCCCTCCTAATTCGGAGCTCCCCCTTCCTCATTTGTAATTGTGTTTTCCATCCTTCCGTTCCTGCTGATCTTGCCTGAGGCCAGCACCATGTGGTTTTCGCAGTGGTCATTTTATTACTGTGCGAGGCTCGCCGCCCCTCACCTTTTAGGCGAACACACCGGTCCCCTTACAGATGAAGCCACCGACGTGCGCTGCTGAACCCCAGCAGACCTTCACAGCTGGCTCCCCCGGGGGCAGGCCGCCCAAACACCACAGGTTCTCCATTTCTCTTTTGCACCAGGCCTCAGCGAGAAGCCCAGCTCCCAGACCTACCGAGAGCTCAGAAGAGCCTTGGACATGACAAAAGCCCACCCCGGCGAGTTCTCCGTCTGCTTCACAGAACTCCAGCAGAGGTTTTTTCACAACCGTCCCAGAAAACTGAAGGATTTGATCCTCTTGGTAAAGCACTGGTACCAACAGGTAATTTTCCAATTATGTGTCTAGGGCTGTCGTCCAATTCCTCTTCACCGAGATCATCCACAGCCGGGAAAGTACGACACTCTTAAGTATAGAGCTCAGTGCAATTTTTTTAAGGGTTTCATTTATTTATTTATTTAGACAGAGAGGGAGAGTGTGAAGGGGGAGGAGGCAGAGGGAGAGAGAGACTCTCAAGCAGACTCCTCGCTGAGCACAGAGCTCCATCTCAGGACCCCAAGATCATTACCTGAGCTGAAATCAAGAGTCAAGAGTCAGATGCTTAAAGGACTGAGCCACCCAGGTGCCCCCAGCTCAGTGCATTTTTATAACCTTTTTGGCAACATCCAGATCAAAATAGGGCACCTTTCCTGCATCCCAGCAGCTGCCTTAAGCCCCTTCCCGGTTAATACTCCCCCCAAACGACCACCGTCCTATCGTCTGTCACCACCAATCAGTTCTGCTCGTTTTTGAGCTTGAAATCAATGGAATGATACCGGACGTGCTCTTTCTGCCCTCTTTTGCTCAACGTGATGTCTGAGAGATCTGTCTCTGTTGTTGCATGGAGTTGTGGTGTTTCGTTGTTCTGTAGGATTCTGTTGTCTTGGTATGCCACACCTTTATCCATTCTGCTAATGGACATTTGGGTCACGTCCAAATCGGGGCTAGTACGAATTAGGGTACTATGGATATTCCCCTACATGTCTTTTTGTGAGTTTAAGCACTCATTTCTCTTGGGTAAATATACAGGAGTGGAAGTGCTGGGTTATAAGGTATCTGAATATGTGTGTATATATAAATACATATATACGTGACATATTTATATATGTATATATGTGCACATAATAAATACATATGCAGATGATACACTATATTATTATATAGTATATAAAATATATATCATTACATAAATATATATAATATATTAAATATCTGTAATAATATATATATATTTAACTTTAGGAAGTACTGCCAACAGTAGTTTTCCCAAACGGTTGTACCTAATGACACTCCCCGCAGCGACGTACGACAGTTTCAGGTGCTCCCCATCCTTGCCAATGCTTGATACTAAAATCCATCGGATTTTAGGCGTGGCCTCCTTTTAGTCACTGGTTGGGGGTGGTGACTTCCTATAGACTGCTGATTCCTTGATTTCAGTTCCCTGGCATGGGGGTAGGGGGGCTGGGTCCCCAGATTAGTCACTACCCCTTTCTTCTCCCACAGTGCCAGGAAAAGCTGAAAGATTTATCCCATCAGCCCGTGTATGCTCTGGAGCTGCTTACAGTCTATGCCTGGGAACAAGGGTGCAGAGCAGAAAACTTTGACATGGCAGAAGGCATCAGAACTGTCCTGGGGCTAATCAGACAGCAGGAGCAGCTGTGTGTCTATTGGGTAGTCAACTACAACTTTGAGAACGAGACAGTCCGGAACATTCTGCTGAGCCAGCTCCGGTCATCGAGGTACCAAGCTTCCCTCCACCCTCTCTCTTTACCTGTTCACCTGCAAGCCAGGCTGTGCCCCTTAGCACGAGGGCTCAGCCCTGTCCCTCCCAGCCAAGGATACACCAAAAGAACACCAGCCTCGGTGGGGGGGGGGGGGGGGGGGGGGAGGGAGGCAGAGCGGGGTCTGCCTGAAATAGGGGAACCTGACCAATGCTTTTCACATTCCAGACCGTCATCATATTTTGTCGCCCAAACAAACACTTGAGAGGTGCTTCCCTTTATAGAAGGAAGGGGCTATTTTTTTATGTTATTAACGGAACATCTTTGTGAAACAGAGAAGCCAGGAGCAGAGGGTCTAGCCGTCTCAGACAAAGCGCCTGAGCAACTGAGAGGAAGCGTGGGTGCTGGAGTCCGGGTTACCAGACGCCCTGTGCAGTCCTCCTTCCCCAACGTGGATTTCTTCCTCCACATGCAGCCCAACTGATTTCTTTTAATCTAATGGAATTCATAGGCCAGTAATCTTGGATCCAGCTGACCCAACCAATAATGTGAGCAAAGATAGGGCGTGTTGGCAACTGCTAAAGCAAGAAGCTCAGAGCTGGTTGTCTTCTCTCAGCCAGAATGAGTCACCTGGACCATCGTGGAACGTTCTGGTGAGAGAGCTTTGCAAATACAGCTCATGTCACGCTGCAGGGAGGGCGTCCTGACACCCAGACCTGGTCTCAGCCAAGAGCACCATGTGTGGAGTTTCTAGGGCTGTGGCGACAGAGTGTCATACGCTGGGGGCTTACAGCAACAGAAAGTATTCTCTCACAGATCTGGAGGCTAGAAGTCCAAGGTCAAGGTGTGGGCTGGGATGGGCTCCCTCTGAAGGCTCCAGGGGAGGATCCTTCCTTGCTTCTGATGGTTGCTGGTGTGCTCCTTGGCGTGTGGAGCCTCCCACGTCCCTCCCACCTCTGCCTCTGTTGTCACATGGCCTTCTGTGGTGTGTCTTCACAATGTCTCCCCTCCTTGCGTGTCTGTCTCCGTGTCTCCCTCCTCTTCTTGTAAGGATGCCAGGCCTGTTGGATTAGCACTTACCCCAATGGTCTCATCTTCACTTGATTACCTCATACAAAGGTCCCATGTCCAAATAAGGTCACATTCACAGGTACCAGAGGTTGGGACTTCAACATATCCTTTAGGGGGACACGGTTCAATCCATAACACACCGTTAGGGGCCACCCTTTTCTGTTAAAATGATGGTAAAGAGCAAAACTGAACAAAGAGAGAAGGGCACCTGCAGATTAGAGATTTCAGTTAATTGCTGCAGGAGAGACAGCAGGTGGAGAGGTGGGGACGGACCACACGGAGCAGAGTCCCAGGCGAGTGCACGGCAGCTGCCCTGTCCCCAAACTGGAGTGCAGATCAAGGGGCTGGCTGTGGGGCAGATACGCTGGCTTCCCCTCCCAGCCCCCAAAGGAGAAGCCAACCTACCCCCACAGAATGCCCCTGCGCTCTCGGAGCTTATTGGAGAAGGACGATTCAACAAGAACGTTATCAGTCTGGGCCACTGAATCCTTTCCATTTTCTGGGGGTCATGGGATGGCAGGGGGACAAATGTGTCGTTTGAGGCCATATAGGTCAACCAAATTCCACATTGCACAGACACGGGACTAGTTTACATCCGAAGTATGCTAAGGGTGGATCTACGTTCCATTTGGCACAGAAAGTTGAGGGTCAACTGAGCAAAGACGGGATATAAGTGAGCTTCCCAAATGCCTGGGGCCCTGGACGGGAAGGACCCTGTGGGCGGGGAGCTCCCTGCCTGGATCCAGAAGGAACACGGTGCGCCCACTCCTTGTCCCGACTTTCACTGGACTCTGGTCTCTGCTCCCTGACCTCAATTTTCCTGGCTTCCTAAAACAGCCTTTTAAAAAATATGCCCCCCCAACTTTATTCTGAAAACTTTGAAACGTAGAGAAAAGTTGTAAAAATGGTTCAGTGAACCGCTGCATCGACCTAGACACCCAAATGTGTAACCTTTGACCTCTTTAGCTGTGTTCCGGTCTGTGTGTATGCACACATACTCATCATCATCATCCTCAGTGTTGTGAGTTTTGTTTAGACTGAGCTATTGGAGTTGGCTGCCAGATAAGGACATTCTCTTAGCTAACCACACGCAATGATCGAATTCCAGAGATTAAGATGAATACGTTATTACCGTCCAGCAACAGTCCATTTCCAGATCTTGCCAATTATCCAAAGAATGTTTCTGATAGCCAGTTTTTCCCAGCCCAGTAGCCATGCTGCGTTTAGTTCTCATGCTGCCCCTAAGCCATCTTTTGATCCCTGCTTTTGCTCCCTTTTCTACCCAATCAACCTCTGTTTCCAGAACTAGGAGGCCTTCCCTCTCATGAGAGCTGTTGGAGGCGACTCAGGCCCGTGACCTGCTGCATCAGGGCGTCTGGGCACTGGAGGGCACGTGCACACAGGCCCACGCATGCATACACACGCCCACGGGCCCCCCACGATACTCAGCCCCGTGGGAAGGGCAGTACTGGCAATGAATTTGCCTTCCAGCACCCGGTGAGGTCCACTGTGAACATCTGGAGGCAACCAAGGTTGACCTTCAACTTTTAAGCCGACCAGCCCACCCCCGTCCCCAAGGAGAGCTCTCCAGCAAAGGGTTGGTACCTATACGGAGCAGTGTGTTTGCTTCCTCTTACCGCTGGAAGGAGGGAAGGAAAGGAGGGAGGAAGGAAGGAAGAGAGGAAGGAAGGAAGGGGAAAGAAAGAAAGGAAAGGAAGGAGGAGGAAAGAAAACCACAAATTTCAAGGCTGAAAAGAACACAAATTTAATTTAATTAAGCTTCTAGCCTTCAATCTCTCTATATAACTGATGCTCCTGCCTCCCTCTTATAAGGACCCTTGTGATGACATTGGGTACACCCGGATAATCCAGGATAATTCCTCCATCTCAAGATCCTTAGCTTAACCACATCTGGAAAGTTCCACGTTCCATATAAGGAAACATATGCACAGGTTCCGGAGATTAAGAGGCGGACATGTGGGGAGATGGGGGCGTCACCTCCCCTCCACCTCCGCCGACTGGGACTTCTAGGGTAGACTGACTGAGCAGGTGGGGCAGGGAGCGGAGGGGCCTCCCGTGGGACGTCATGACCCATGAGACATGGAGTAGACCCCACAGCCTGAGCTTTTTGACTGAAGAGGAAAGAATTACACTTCTGTGCAGACCCCATTTAGAGATCAGAATATGATTTCTTTCCGGAAGTGACCACAGATGCAAGGAAGTAGCACGTCCCACCCTCCACAACCCCTTTTGGAGCAGAGAAGTGTCCCTTCGGACTGAACCCACAGCCCCTCCGATCCCAGGCTGGCTCTCTCCTCAGCACCCTGAGAACAGTATAGAGGGTTGACTAGTGTCCCCCAAAACTCACATCCACCTGGATCCTCAGAATGGGAACTTCTTTAGAAGTAGGGTCTTTGCAGGCATCATTAGTTGGATGAGGTCATTCAGGATTAGCATGGCCTCTGACTCCAGTGACTGGTGTCCTTATAAGAAGGCACACAGAGACCCAGGCACATCAATGGCCAGAGTGGTATGTCCCCAAGTCAGTGAAGGCTAGGAGTTGCTGGAGCCTCCAGAAGCTGGAAGGGGCAAGAAAGGCTCCTGCCATAGAGCCTTCAGAGGGCGCCCAGCTCTGCTGACACACTGAGCACAGATTTTAGTCTCTGGAACAGTGAGAGAATACATTTCTGTCCGCTGGAAGCCCCCCAGGGGTACGTTGCTAGGGCAGCCCTGGGAAGCCAATCCCCATGGGCACATGTGTGCAACAGAAGCTGATCAAGCCTGAAAAGGCTCGCGGGTGATCATTTCTCCAGATATCCGCAGTCCCTGCAGGCAATGGGAGACTGGGGGCGGGCACAAAGGTTTTAGGGTTCCCAGCCACAGAAGGCAATGCCACGCCCAGAACAGCTTCGAGTCCCGGAAAGGGTCAGACCTCTCCGGGGGTAGGAAGGAACAACTCACAGTTTTTGTTTCTGGGGCAGGGGAGCGGGGCGGTGGGGGGGAGCGGGGCGGGGGTCTTGGGCAGCACCCTGAACTCTCCCGAATGTTCTCGCGGCGTGTCGATGCAAGTGCTGAGTGCTCGTCTACCTTCCCAGCCAGCACCGCTGTTCACCACCCCGGGCCATCTTCTAGACAAGTTTATCAAGGACTTTCTCCAGCCCAACAAACATTTCCTAGACCAGATCGCGGTAGCTGTTGACATCATCTGTAAATTCCTTCAAAAAAATTGCTTTCTCCATTCAGCGACAAAGGTTCAAAAGACTGTGAAGGTGAGCGCTGGCCTTTCTCCTCCGCAGTTCCCAGAGCCCTGCAGTGCCCGCCAGTGGACGGAGGGCAAGGGGGGTGGGAGGGAAGTGGGGGGAGATGGGCACCCAGGACCCCGGCTCTCATCGGGGTTGCCCGCACACTGCTTCCGTCCTTAACAGCATAGCTTTGGCTCTGTATGAGCTTCCGGGGGCTGCCGTGGCCCTTAGCGGCCTTGACCTGGGAACTGCACCCCCCTATCTCTGCCTGTGTCTCCCCATCACCTCTCCTCTGCAGGTCTCCTTCTTTCTCTTGTCTCCTAAGGACACCTGCCATTGGATTTAGGGTCCACAGACCCCTCACTCAATGACATCTACACAAAGACCCTTTTTCCAAGTCAGGTCACGTTTTCACGTTCCCAGCGGACATATCTATTGGGGGGACTACCACTCAAACCACTGCAGCTTCCAAGCTCAGTGTGTACTGAACCAAAAAGTGACCTCTTTCTTGTTTTAATGACCACAGCCCGATAAGTCCCATCAACTGAGCTAGAGAGTCGGCAGATTGGGTCATTCTTGTCCATGGCTCAAGGCCATGGGCTAACCCCCTTCCCTCCGTCTGTTGGTCAGCGCCCAGATAACCAGGTGCCCGTGGTCCGGAGGAGGGAGCAGGGAAAGGCCCATACGGCGCCAGCAGACCTGGGTGCCTGCTGCCCTGTCACAGACCTGGGGAGCAGTACCAGGAGAGTAAAATGTCTCACTGAGGGTCATCGGAGTGAGTTCATGGTCACAGGCTGAGTTCATGGTCAATGTTAGGATTGTCAAAGCTTGTTTTTCTCCCTTCCTTCCTGAGACCCCCCATTAACCCGACAGTAAAAAAATAAGAAAAGGTATGGTGGCATCTCACAGAAGAAAATAGGAAGAGAACCGCCAGCGCATAGGACATTGCTTTCTGTCTTCCTGAAGTTGGAAAGGGTTGTCTGCTGGGTGACAGGGGAGGCGTCCCCTGAATGTGAGGAGGGGGCATGGAGCGGCCTGTGAAGGCCAACACTCACAGACCAGCCGCGTGAACGAAGCAGATTTGAGCACCTGTTTACAGGGGACAGAACACCTTCCCCTTGCCCCTAACCCGCTGCCAGGCATTTACTACCCATGGGTTAAACAAACGTGTTCTCCATAAAAATCGAGTGAGCTTTTTGGGGGCACCCGGGGCAGCAAGTATGAGGGTTGGTGCCCAGAGCAAAGCCCCCAGCACGGTGCCCTGGGACCGTTCTCTGTGGGGAAGCTGGCTTCTCCCCCACCTGCCCTCGAAGCAGCCTGTCCGCTAAGGAGCCGTGCCTAATAGAGTTGTTAGAGCAGAAAGGGAAGAAGGAAGAGGAGGAGGAAGGGAGGAAGAGAGAGGCAGTGGGGGGAGAAGTGGAGAAGCCTGTGTGGCAGGGACATACATAGCCTACACTTACTACCTGACCCCCTACAGAAAGTTTGCAGAGCCCTGTATCTAAATCATGAATATTCATCCCACGATCCCCAGCTTGTAAGAGGAAACAGATGACTCAGGGGACAGATGAGGATCTTTCAACGCAATGATTCCATCCAGTTTGATTTCTCTCAGATCACAGGAATTCACACAAAGCTAAATGCTCTTTGGGAGAAATCTTGAGGAAGTTGACGTGAGAAGTGGGTAACTGGTAACGAGCCATCAGTTGTTTGTGTGTTAATAAGCACATCAAAGGGCATGAGAAAACCTTTCAAACCAAACTATTTGTTTGAAAAATTGAACGCTCTGCTTTGGACTCAGCCCTAACTGGACCCTAACCTGGAACCCTAACCTTGGCAACCTCATTAATGAGCCCACTGGTGCCAGCCCGTGGGGGCTCGGGGCTCGGGATCTAGAAAATGCTGTATCTCCGCTTGCTCTCTTCACTAGGGAGGGTCGACGGGCAAAGGCACAGCTCTGAAGACTGGGTCCGATGCTGACCTCATCGTGTTCCCAGACTCGCTTAAAAGCTACGCCTCCCAAAAAACCGAGAGATGCTGTATCATCAAGGAAATCCATAAACAGCTAGAAGCCTGTCAGCAGGAGAAAGAGTTGGCAGTGAAGTTTGAGATTTCAAAATGGAAGGCTCCCAGGGTGCTGAGCTTCTCTCTGAAATCCAGAGTGCTCAACGAAAGTGTGAACTTTGATGTGCTGCCTGCATTTAATGCGCTAGGTGAGACCCCCCCCCCCCAGACCTTCACTTCTAGAGGAGGAAGCCGGGTTCTGGGGCGATGGGGCGATGGGGCAAGGTGGGTGGAGGGAAAGCCATGTGACCTAGTAATGGCTTATGGTCTAGTGACCCCAGCAGGTGGCATGAGTAATGGCAGCAATGCCTTACACCTGTGGACATGTTCATTCTCCTTTCTCACTTAAGGATCCCGAGGATGGCCAGGACCATATTCCTTATCTTCTTATATTCCTGCAGTATCACTCACAATACCTATCAAAGAATGGGGTCCACAGGAGTTCTGTACACATTTATAGATAAAATGCCACAAGTGTTAGTGAAGGAAATGAAAGAACAGACTGGGAAGAATTCTGAGGCAAAGACAGGAAATCTGGGTGTCTGCAATCTGCTTTGGAAATTCGGTTCATGAATGACAGATACATAATGTTATATTAAAAGAAACCAAGACTATTTCAGGCATTTTTCAAATCAGAATCAAGAAGACTCTGATACCTTCCCTCTGAATGGTTCTTAGTGTCTCTAGAGACGAAATAACAGTATAAATTGGAGGTCAGCTAATTTTTTTTTTTTTAAAGACAAGGTAGCAAGTATTTTCAGGTTTGAGGACCATACAGTTTCTGTCACAACTACTCGACTCTGCCATTGTAACCTGAAAGCAGCCATAGACAATACATTAACAAAGGAGCATGGCAGTGTTCCAATAAAACTTTATTTACAAAAACAAGAAGTGGGCCAGATTTGGCCTACCATCCGTAGTTAGCAAACTCTCGATCAGTGCTATCTAAAAGGTCTTTCTGTGATAATAGGAACGTTCTATATCTAATGAGAGCTTGAAATGTGGCTAGTGGGACTGAGGAACTAAATTTTTAATTTTATTTCCCTTTAGTTAATTTGAACGCAGATAACCACGTTGTTTGGTGGCTACCGTATTGGACTGTGCAAATCTAGATAATACTTTAATAAGAGCATGCTTACTCATATAGCCCATATAGTATTTTTAAATATCTCATTACTCCCCGTATCTTAGACATCGATCATTCAAATATACCAATAGAATTCCAAGTCATTTCCCAGAATTAAATTATATTGGTCAAAAATGTTGGAAAACGGTTACTTTGATGCATAGTAAAGCATAAACTAAATATCTCCCCCATGCTAGGTCAACTGAATCCTGGCTCCCCACCCAGCCCCAAGGTCTACACTGAGCTCATCAATCTGTACAAGTCCTCAGACGCCGAGGGGGGAGAATTTTCCACCTGTTTCACAGAACTGCAGTGTAACTTCGTTGTCTCCCGGCCCACCAAACTGAAGGATTTAATTCGTCTGGTGAAACACTGGTACAAACAGGTATGACAGTGCTCATTCCAGCTGTCTGGAATTGTTTTTATCGTGCTCTGGGACCATGGAACCGGTTCCCATCGAGTGTTCCGTGTGCCCACACTCTGCCGTGCTGGGGCCCGAGCCACTTTCGGGACTCTGTCCACTAATCTGGCATATCTCTGTGGAGTCCCCGTCACCAAACCCGTGAAGTTGGGGTGAGCTGTAGAGCACCCCCTCCCATCAAAGCTGCTTATTTTGCCTTTGCTCTGACCCCCAGAGAATTCAGCAGGAATCCAAGTTATTCTGCCTACCAAGGGCAGGTGAAACTGGGAATGTACATGCCTACAGGTCACCAGCACGGCTTACCCCCCACCCCAGCTCAGTGCCCATGCTTAGCACACACAGATGCCATCCTTGGAAGACAGGTTGCAGCTACAGGCGGGACCAGGGGCTGCATTTTCTGTAACGCTTAGCCTCCCTTTGCTTCCGTCACTGTCTCGCACTCAGGGGACCTTCTGAGTATCTCCGCGCAGCAGAAATCCAGCACAGCATCAGCTCTTTCCTGGGATGTCTCCTTCCTGTGCACAGCTCCCTGAGCTCTGTGGTTTCCAACCCAGAAACTCAGAGAATTGGCCATACCCCCAGCCCCAGGGTGCTCAGAGGGCTCAGGGCTACCGTGTGACCTTGAGCGAGTCACTTCCCCTCCTCAAGCCTCATGTCCTCATCAGAAACGCCGATCTATGCCTGCTTGGTGGGGTTGTTGGAGGATTAGGAATGACCCGTAAAATGTCTGGCCCCACGGTCAGCACACAGTGGGTGTTTTGTAAGCGGTCGCTGTAGTATAACTCTAGGGAGTCCTATATGGCCGTAGCCCAACCCAGAAATCTGCACGCTGCTAAGGAAGCACCTGCTCAGACCTCCAGCAGCCCAGTCCCATCAGCACCGTGTCTCGTGCCTCAGTTGCCCCGCTGTGGCCCCAGCGGCCATTAATGTGTGGTCTCTGCTGTACTCTTTGAGCTCACTGCACCTCCCTGCCTTCACCAGTACTATCTGACGTTCCCCGCTTCCCTCAGTGTGAAAGGAAACTGAAACGAAAGGGGTCTCTGCCCCCAAAGTACGCCTTGGAGCTGCTCACCATCTATTCCTGGGAGCAGGGGAGTGGAGCAGAGAATTTCGACACCGCGGAAGGTTTCCATACGGTCCTGGAGTTGATCACAAAATATCAGCAGCTTTGTGTCTTCTGGACGGTCAATTACAACTTTGAGGATGAGACTGTGAGGAACTTCCTACTGACCCAGATCCAGAGAACCAGGTGCCCGAAATCCTGCCACCCCTTTTCTTAACCTGATTCCCTCCAATGCTATTCCAGCGACCTGGATTCTCCTCCCTGGGGTCGTGGTTCATTATTCCCCACGAGAAACTGAGGATGGCGGTGGGTGGGGGTGGAAAGGTGCCAACCAGCAGAACCTCCCATAGTCTCCGGGGAGGAAATCCGGGGGGGGGGGGGGCAGGAGAGAATGTCATCCAGGAGGAATAGAGAAAGAAGGACCAAGATACAGGTCCCTGGGTTGCTTCCATCTTCGTAGGTTGGAAGGAAAAGTGTGAATTCGTTATCAGGTCTTAGAGGTATGGAAGTCGGAAGTGTGTCCGTGAGAAATAACACCATCATTCCTTCATGGCTGATTCGTCCTACAGGAGAATTAGATTTATTAGATCAGATTTTATCCACCCTTTCAGACCCACATCCCGCAAAACCGCTATCCTTCACGAATAGCAGGGAATCTTAGCATGTCCATTCAGTGCTCCCGGCAGAACAGAAGAACAAGGGAAACAAAAGAAAGGGAAAGAGAGGAAAGGAAAAAGCTTTGAGAAAGAATAGAGAAGAAAGAGAGAACAAGATACCATGGGTTGGCTGGCTACCATGGGCGTGGCCGATGTGACATTACAGCTGATTAAATTATGCAGCATATTTCAGTCGACCTAACAGGAGGGAGATGTTTATCTTATGCCGTCCTGTGTATAATAATGAGCAGCTTTCAAAATATTATTGGCAAATGTAATTGAATTCTAGGAAATCACTTTGCGCTCTATCAGTACGTTTGAATTACCGGCACCTAAAACACAGGACATGTTTTGGCGCTAAGAGTGGAATGGGGCCCCTGATTCTGAGGCCACTGGTTTTAAAAAGCATGTAATGCTTCTGACTCTCCTTTAGGCCCGTGATCTTGGACCCAGCTGACCCCACTGGTGACGTGGGTGGAGGGGACAAATGGTGTTGGCATCTCCTAGCAAAAGAAGCTACTGAATGGTTGTCCTCTTTCTGCTTCAAAGATGGGACTGGATATCCTGTACGATCGTGGAAAGTGCCAGTAAGAATAATCTAAAGGAAGTGTCCTCTGGAGATGCCCCTGTGACATGCTTACATCAAAGAGCCTCTCCCGCTGTAGCAACTTGGAATTCATTCCACCACAAATAACAGATAGCCCAACTCAGGAGCTGAGAACAAAACAAAACAAAACAGGCGTGGGTTTTCTTGTTTTGTTTTGTTTTTTTGTTTTTGCCTTCCCATTACAAGCAATCCTAAGGCAGGTGACCCAGGACTCACGCAACAGCTCTATGAGCGGGTTTTCTCCACTGGGGGAACTGTTGGCATATAGGTTGTCTCGTTTTTGGGTTGGGGGTTGTCCCGGGCAGCGTTGGGTGCTGAGCGGCATCCCTGGTCCCACCACTGTGGCCACAAGAAATGTCTGCAGACATTACCAAATGTCCCCTGAGGCATCACCAGCCCTTTCTGGCTGCACCTTCTTTAGTTGTCCCAGTTGGGAACATTAAAAATGTCTCGAAACATGTCCTCATGTCCTGTCGGGAGCAAAATCGCCCCCAGGTGAGAACCCAGCTTCAGAAGAACCGCCCAACCCTAGTTTGCTTTAGTTCCCCAGATCTGCACTGTAACCAGTGCCCAAAAGTTGTCCCTGGTAATACAAACCCTCTCAGACACCCTTCCTTCTTCTTTTTCTCTGACTCTTTTAACCAATGGTTTTAACTGCTTAGGATACGTCTTATTCTGGCACATCTATTTCTTTCTCTCCAGACAGTGCAGACACCGGGCAGTTGTGGTATGGGGATGCATCCTATTGTCAATGAGATGTTCTCATTCAGAAGTCGTAGGACCCTGGAACGGTAACGCTAGAAGAGACTTCTAGAAGTCATCTGGCAGCTGCTTTTTAAAGATTCAGTTCGCTGTCACCACCAGATCTGCTCTCCTCTACTCCTCCTCTCGCTTCCTTGACTCCTTTTGAAATCAAGAACGCCAAGTCCATAGCATCAGCCTGCTGAACTCTCGCTCGGCAAGTGACCCGCCTTACCAGACTCATCCGCTTTCATCCAGCTTCACCGGCGCCATCGTTCTGTCAACCATTGTGTGTTTTCCCATTAGCTCCTTCCTTTTCCTTCAAGCCTTAGCAGAGAGATCTCTCCGTAGTCCCAAAGGGAAGCCCTCTACCTGCCCCTGGGTTCCTATAATTCCATGATCTGGCTCTCACACTCCTCCGCCTGGCTCCTGTCTCTTTTCCTCTGCACACAAAACCCAGTCTGCACCTGCTGAGTTGAAGATCTCCCCTGTGTCTTCTTAGCCTTTTAAACTCTCCAAAGGCTTGCATTATAATTGCTGCCTCACATACATAATAGCCTACTGTCTTTTCCTCCTGAGCCTACCTTCCCCCCCCTCCCCCCATGATGAGTGTCTTCTTGCCAAATCTCAAGGCTTTACGCTGTGGCTTTAGCTTCAGAGATACTTGAAAGATACTTTGTTACCACTGCATATACCCCGACACCCGCTGTCATAGAACAAAGAGTATATCTAGTCTTTGTCCCCAGCTCCTGGCGCAGAGCTTCAGAAGCCCTTGGAATTTCCCTGATAGGAGAGTCTTTTGCATTCCCAAGGAGCCTCTTCCAACCATCCCTGAGTTTATGCTGATGAGGTTTGCGCCCTTTGGTAAGAGTTTCAAAGGAGGGATTGGCCGTGCTGTCGATGCCAGGCATGTGATGAGAGGGTTGAAACTTTCAGCCCCATCCCCCCAACCTCCCAAGAGCAGAGGAGGCTGCAGATTGAGTTCAAGCCCATGGCCAGTGATTTAATTAATCGTGCCTTTGTAATGAAACCCCAATAAAGACTCTGGACAGCAAGGCTTGGAAAGTTTCCTGGTTGGTGAAGAGAGCAGTGTGTTGTGAAGATGTCGCATCCAAACTCCATAGGGAAGGGGCTTCTACACTCCAGACTCTTCCAGCCCACCCCTCCTGTGTATCTCTTCGTCTGCCTGTTCATTTACATCCTTTATAATAAGATGGTGATTGTAAGTATGGCATTGTTCTGAGAGTCATTCCAGCAGGTTATTGAAAGTAAAGTGGGGCCATGGAAACCCCTGAATTTGTAGCCAAGTCGGGGCGGGGGTCCAAGCAGTCTGAGGACCCCACTCGCAGCTAGCTAGCATCTGAGGGGGAGGCAGCCTTGCTGGGACCTTGCCATTTGACTGTGAGGCCTGCATGGGCTCCAGGTAACGTCAGAGTGGGATTGACCCGTTGGACTCCCAGCTGGTGTCATGCCAGTGAGCTGGTGTTGCTGGAATGCACCACCGCTCTTGTCCAGAACAAGGGCAAAAGAAAGAGCCCTTGAAGAAAGAATGACCACTCTGCATTCATATGGACTCAGTCTACAACTGGATCCCAGACCCTTCTAGATGCCCCAACTCACACTAGAGACATGGACAGGAGACCGTAAGACCATAAGACACTGCTCCATCCTCACAGGGTTAATGACAGACCTAGAGGTACGTCACCTGAACCCCTTAAATAAAAATGAACAACCGTGTACAGCCACATGGTCAGTGGTACGGATGTAGTAGATTAAGACCTGCAACAATAAATACAGTAAGCGACTCAGATTGTCCCGAAGGAAGGAAGGAACCATCCTGGTTCTTTCCTGCCAATGTCTTCTCAGCATTTGGCAGACATTTAAGTTCATTAAGAGCAAAGATAAGAGAGCATCCGCAGTGATCAAGGAACATGCCACTCACTGGTCATCATTGGAAGGAACGAGAACACCAATGCTTTTTTCAGAAAATTGCCAAGCCCCGGCAATGAATAGGATATAACTAAGCCCAGCCTTTCTTGTACAAACTATTTCAGGATAAACATACAGCTATAACTAATAAGGAAAAAACATCTTTTTTACAAAAGAATTCTACTTAATATTTGTTGAAAGGGTGAAAATTAGAAACGTCGCCATTTTGCAACCTTGGCTGAAATGAATGAGGCAGAGACTACGGATGGATGGGACCAGTACGAGAGGCGGGGAGGGGGAGCTGTGTGACAGAAGGGGGCAGACCATCGCCTCCCAAACCCGCGGTCTGATCAGAGCATTAGGAGGAGGACATGGTGTGCCTGCTTGTGGGAGGCAGTATGGAGCACCATCCCTTAGGTGTCTTTGCCAAGTCAAAAAAAAAAAAGACCATAAGAATAAAAGGAACTGAGTTAGCAAATCCCAGAGAAAATGTGGAGGCCAGACACATTTCACAGGGGAGAACATCAGAGTGAACAGCAAGGAGAGGAAATGTGTGTGAAAGGGAAATGGGCCAAGAATGTATCAACAGTCCTGTTAGGCAGAGCTAAAGGTCAAGATCCCAGGCCCATCGTCCACTCTCAGTTACCCTGGCAACAAGGCCCCCACCTACCCCAAAGGAAGTAAGCAATGATTAGAAGCAGGGCTGCACATGGCAAGTGGCCAGTGGCCCAGGAAGAGTTTGGGAAGAGTTTGAGCGGCAGACCATAAATGAGGCCACCAATGGGGAGAATTTGCGGATAAAAGGATTATCTGGAGCCTGTCCGCTGGAGGGGTTCAGCTGCTCTGAACTGAGGCTTCTCCAGCTAAGTTTGGTCAAGTCAGAGCAGGTAAAAATGGTACCACTCTGGTTCTGTTTCTTGACATCAGTGCCTGAGACGAATCTCACACAAGGAAAAGATGGAGAAAACTCACTCTCTGTCTTTCCTGGGGCTGCCCAGAGTGGGGTGTAGACCTGGGAGAGCTAGCCTGGGGCTGCCCAGAATAGGGTAGAGACCTGGAGGGAAGCACAGGGAGCAGAATGTGAGGACTCAGTAACCCAACCCAACCAAGAGGGTTCCATCTGAGCACCCACGTGCCAGGCACACACACCTCTGATGGAGTTCCTCAGAGATGCGCAGAATCCAAGGCCTTTCTCTGCTCTTTCCCTTCATTGGGGGACCAGGCTGGGAATTGCAAGGGAGAAGCTCTCGTGTTCTTAGGACAAGGCTCCAGTTGAAGGAGCAGGAAGTCATCACCAGGAGAAGGGGAAAGGCTCAGTTGCCGTAAGTGTGTGTATGGAGTGAGGGCTATGGGGGCAGGAAAAGGGATCCTCCCCCAAGGCTTGGCCACAGTGATGGGGGTATCGTGGGAAAATGAGGGAGCCAGCGAGGGGCCACTGTGAGCTCGGACATCGGGAGAGGAAATGCCACTAAACCCACAGGAGGCCTGGGGAAGCCGGAAGGGGTGTGGCGGACAGAATAATAGCCCCTCAGAGATGTCCACACCTGATCCCTGGAGCCTGTTGATGTGTTACCTGATCTGACAAAAGTGACTCTGCAGAAGGGAATAAGTAAAGGGTCTTGAGAGGGGGAGAGTAATCTGGGTATTCACGTGGGTCCAATCGAATCACATGAGCCCTTAAAAGCCCACAGCCTTTCCACCCAAAGTTAGATTCAGCTGAAGAAGACGCAGGAGGACGTGAGTGGCTGTTGCTGGCTTGGAGGCGCAGAGGGTCCCGAGGCAGGGAACGCGGGCGGCCTCTAGATGCCGCAAGTCACGCGGGAGAGGGTCACCTCCCGTTTCCTCCTCTGCCCTCCACGCCAGCTGTGGGGGGCTCCCACACCAGGGAGGGGAGAGAGAGGGAGGAGGAGGGAGAGTGGCTTGCTGTCCCTGGTTTCTCCTCGCTCCCGCCATTCCCAGTGTAAAAGGAAGACATTGGTTTTCTACCAGTTGTCTGCGTGATCTCACTTGCAGCGTGTCAGCCCCCTTGCACCGGGCACTTCACACTCCCGGTCCGTATCGCAGGCCTGCCGGGTGTGCGATTGGAGGGGTGCCATCCTCGCGGAGCTGAGTCTGTCGGGCTCACACCCTCACCTCTCTTTCTCCTTCCCCTCCACTCCCGCAGCCTTTGCTCTTTGCTGCCATCTTGTGGTCACCACGAGAATTACATACGCGGGAGCTGGGGAAGCGAGAAAGTCCGAAGAGGCAATTAGGTATGCTTAAAGCCCCTGGAACGTGTTAGGGGGAGAGGGAGGTTCATTTGGAACCATGATCCAGACAGTAAGGCATATTTAAGCAATCTGTTATTTCCACATACTGGGCATTAACTACTCATTAGGAACAGAGAAGGTCGTAAAGAAAACCAATGGCTCTAAAACAAGCCTAGAGGGGCGCCTGAGTGGCTCAGGTCATGATCCCCAGGTCCTGGGATCGAGCCCAGCATCCTGGGATCGAGCCCTGCAACAGGCTCCCTGCTTAGCGGAGAGGCCTGCTTCTCCCTCTCCCACTCCCCCTGCTTGTGTTCCCTCTCTCGCTATGTCTCTCTCTGTCAAATAGATAAATAAAATCTTTAAAAAAAAATAAAATAAAAATAAAACAAGCCTAGGGACACTGGGCAGATGCTCCTGAATTAATCCGCTGAGGAATTTCTGAAGTCCTTCTATGCTGGATATTCCAGCAAGAAACGGGTCTTACAGGGTGCCTGGGTGGCTCAAAGTCATTTGGGTATCCGACTCCTGATTTTGGCTCAGGTCATGATTTCAGGGTCGTGGGATTCCTGCATCAGTCTTGGCTCTTGGTCTGGAGTCTGCTTGAGGTTCTCTCTCTGTCGCCTTCTGCCCCTCCCCTCAAATAAATAAATAAATAAAATCTTAAAAAAAAAAAAGAAAAAGAAAAAGAAAGGGGTCTTTCCCCTTGACCTCAAATGTGACCAACAGGGATTCAAGTCTCTGAGTTTGGTTGCCTTTCTCACTTTTAAGAAATTCCCTATTAAAAGGTTAATGCAGGAGATCCTAAAATATTAATGGAACCGTGTTCATGGATTGGGAGGCTTAATATTGTTCAGATGATAATACGACCCAAGGCCATACATAGATTTAAAGCTATCTCTATCAAAATCCTCATGGTATTTTTTTAATGGGAAAATGAGAATGGGAAATGGGAAAAAAAGCTCATCCTAAACTTCACAGGGAATTTTAAGGGACCCAGAATATCCAAAACAATCTTGAAGAAAAAAGAACAAAGTTGGAGGACTCACATCTCCTGATTTCAAAACTTGACACAAAGCTACAGTAATCAGAACAGTGTGGTATCTGCATAAGAATAGACATACAGGCCAACAGAATAGAATTGAGAGCCCAGAAATAACCCCTCACTTCGATGGTCCATTCTACTGAGGAGAAATTGGTCTCTCTGACACATGGTGCTGAGAAAACCGGTTGCACACGTGCCGAGAATGAACCTGGGTCCTTACCCTTTACCATAAAAAAATTAACTCAGAATTGATCCAAGACCCAAATTCTAGGAGATAAAACTATAAAGCTGTCAGAAGAAAACAGGAATGATCTTGTATTTAGCAATGGCTTTTTAAGTGTGACACCCAAACATAGGCGACCAAAGAAAAAATAGATAAATTGGACTTCAGTTAAGATTAAAAACTTCTGTGCACCAAAGGACACAAGCAGGGAATGAAAAGACCACCCATCGAATGGGAGAAAACATATGCAAATCCTATCTGATTAAGGTTTCATACCCAGGGGCGCCTGGGTGGCTCAGTCGGTTAAGCAGTTGCCTTCAGCTCAGGTCATGATCCCAGGGTCCTGGGATGGAGCCCCACATCCGGCTCCCTGCTCAGCGGAGAGCCTGCTTCTCCCTCTCTCTCTGCCTGCCTCTCTGCTTACTTGTGCTTTCTCTCTCTGTGTCAAATAAATAAATAAAATCTTTAAAAAAAAAAAAGGTTTCATACCCAGAATACATAAAGAACAACGACTCGAGAACAAAAAGACAAAAACCTGATTTTAAAATGGGCAAAGGACTTGATGATCTACAAGTGGCTAATAAATACAGGGAAAGATGCTCCACATCATTAG